AGTGCAAGGGAGCAGCGCTCTTATCAAGCAATCGAAACCCCTTTCGAGTGAGAGAAAGGTATTTGGCATAGAGGCATCGGCCGGTACTGCATGTTCTGATACCGTGGATGGTGGATGAACATGGGTGTAGGAGGAGCAGGTCTGTCTGGGCATCGGGGATGTAATGGCAGTTTAGAGTGATCCTGAGTGGGATTTTGAGGTGGGCGAGCATTACAGTAGTGCAGTGTAAGCTTCTCAGACTGGCTGTGTTAAACTACTCAGGAGTTCATCTGTCTGGTATTAGGAAAGAGTTTACTGGAGCCTTATTAAAACAAAGTCGGGTCAAGCAACACAGTGAAGTTTAAATGCTAACCGTAGCATGCAAATGTGCTCACAATAACATTGCTAAGAGGCTTGTATTATTTTCAGCAGGTATAATGTTTATGCCGTGTTCATCATTTTAGTTTATCTTGATGATGTAGTGTGCTCTAACACAGCACAGCTAAGGCTTGTGGAAATGTCCTCAGTCTTTCTTTGTAGAAAGTAGGTCCAATGAATATTTTTGATCTTCAGCGCATGTGTCAGATGTTTCAAACCAAACCTCTGGAGACGTCTAAAGAGTCGTCCACAGTCGCTTTTATTGCAGCCCCACCACTGATGAGCGGGGATTTATTGTGAATTCTGCGCTTTTGAATCACAAAACAAAACTGTTGGCTAGATGGGATGCTTTTAATAACAGAGAAAGAGGATGAGTGACAGAAGGCAAAACAAAAGGGTTTTGCATTAGTGTTTATGTGCATCGGTTCAATGGCATCACTGGCGATGCCTGTTCGGATGGAGTTTCAAAGTCTGTTCATTCTGTCTGCAGACAGGATAATATGCCAGAAACGGCAGGTCAGGGAGATGTCACGCGTCGGCTGCTATTCACGCCGACTGAACAAATAAACTAGTCTTGGTATTTCGATAGATGACTTGAAGAAGTTCACACAGTAATGAAAGCAAAAACAATAGGTCGGTTTTCTGTCTTGCTCCTTTATCTGTGTCGTTAAAGACAATAGACACAAGTTGTTGAAAGCAACGGTGTGTTTGGCTTTGATAAAACAGCCTACTGTATGAGATGCAACATGAACTTCATTGACTGCGAGTGAATGGAAGATGACTTTTATAAATGACCTTACCAGGTGGAAAAAGGCATTGTTCAGCAGTTTAGAGTGATCCTGTGTGGGATTTTAAGGTGGGCGAGCACGACGTTAGTGTGGTGTGTATTTCTCAGACTGACTGTGTTAAAATACTCAGGAGTTCATCGGACTCGTATTAGGAAAGAGTTTACTGGAGCCTCATTAAAACAAAGTCACTGTGAAGCTACGCTTAAATGCTAACCGTAGCATCCAAACACGCTCACAATAACAATGCTAAGAGGCTATTATTATTATTATTTTATTCATTCATACCATGTGCATCATTGTAGTTGATCTTGTTAGCATGCTAAGAAAAACAGAAACATAAAAAACACATGCGAGGCTTTTTTGTCAAGTGCTTCATCATAAACCAAAGTATTGATTGGAATTCTGACATTCTGGCGGTGCTAGCTGAAGAGTCAGGGGTCAACAAGGTGAATGTCATTTTTCCTGGTGGTGGTTCAATGTGTGAAGCAAAGTTCCTGCCAAGCTTTGCTGCCGTGTGTAGTGATGACGTCTTTTCAATACGTGTGTTGTAGTGGGACCATGAGCTTATTTCCTCACTGGTTACGCCACGCTATGACCTTAACCTTTCATTGTTTTGGGATATTTGCAAAAGACTCTCCAGTGTAACCCTTAAGCTTCACGGAGATCTTTGAACTCGGTGGGACTGAGCTATTGTACGCTCTGCATTAGGTCCTCGCGCACAAACAAACTGGCCTGTTTCGTGCCAAACACATTTCCCCACACAACATTGTGTTTTGTAAACTGACATGAGGCTCTGGTGCTTCCTTTCTCGTATACTATACATGATTTCTAGCCGCATATAGGGTTGTGTAAGATGATGATTCCCAGGGCACATGGGTCTTATTGGGTGAGAGTACTGTTTGGACTGTGTCCTGAATGTTTGTTCATGTTCTCTGTGCATGTTGTAAACAGTTAACTATATATTGTACGCATGGGAAATGGATAACAGGTATCCAGAGAGTGAATGCCCTCTCACATACTCTGGGTTGAACTCTGACCCGTTCAGAGTTTTATTATGTCAGAAGAAAAACATTCAGAGGGCTTTTGAAGCTGGAGCCCTGCAGAGTTTCAAATTTGTCACTTTTTTAATGTTAAAGTAATAAAAGTTTTCCAACAAAGTAAAATTTTACCAGTTGGAGAAAAAGTTTTCCTGTGTGGAATGACTCACGGCAGACATGCCCTTTCCTCTTCCCGTGTTGCTCTTTGTTAGTGAGCACGTGTTGGCCAAAGAGGTCAATGTTGTCGGTGATAGTGGAAAATATCAACCTGCACAGATTTTTTTCCCTGTTTTCTGAGAGCTGAGGTCTGATCGAACCCCAAAATCAGCCAATATTTCTGATTACATACTGTTTGAATGCAAAATCCGAAGTCCGTCCATTCACTATGAGGTTTAAAAATCTTCTATTGTGAAAAGGAAGTGGAACGTAAATGCCCTGAAGATTTAAGTTGCTTAGCGGCCGACTGGCTCCGATCAATCATCAAAAAGTCATTGCTGTGTTTGCCTGCACATGTGCATTTGAATGCGCTCTCCAAAGAGCTGTCAGCTGCACAGTGACGTTCACCTTGTCCCGAATGGGAGACAGATTGAGCGTTAGAGTTCGAAACATAATCATAACTTTGTACGTGTGGGCACTTGTGAGGTGCCCTGCTGATTTCTGTCTCCTCATGGTGAAATATAACTAAATAAAAAGATTGTGCGGTGCAAAAGTTGTTAAAAGTACTAAACTTCTGACCTTGTCGAGAATGGAGTGGATGTCATGCATTAGAATTGTCGATTGCATTGTAGAAAATTCTAATAGCATGGCGATAAACGCAAGTGTTTATCTATCTATTTATTTATTTATTTGTATTTTCTGTGGATTTCTGCCACTGAAATACATTTTAGGCTCATCATTCAAATACGCTGTATGTCTGAGGCAGTCATCAGCAATACAAAAATAACACAGTTATTCCTTTTTTTGACAGTAACTTGAGAGATTGTATAAAGCAACCGGCTCCATTACTGTGTCACGTCTGTAAAGAATTAGTCCAAGGTCGCCCTGTTTACAGTTGTTTACAAGAATGACTTCACGGCAAATTGCACCACGTTGCTGACTGGTTGTGTCAATGCTTTTTTTGACCCACCTTCGGTTATTCTAGCAGATTCTAATTGCTAAATATAGTTACTTTCGTATAGTGTAATATGGTTACTGATTTGAAAAAATACCATAATCAACTGATGCAATTGACTTTTCATGGTGAATGAAACACAAGCATAGCTATGCTCTTCTGCAGAACACATTTGTGACTGCTATTTGATTTGAAATGACAATCAAATGTTGCATATTAAGGAGCCAAATGTTTTGCTGCGGACCTCATTGTTAAACTGTTAAATGATTTTAATTTTCTATATTGTTTGTTTTTATACAGTCCCTGTGGTGAGCTGCAATAGTGTTTTGTTATTTCATGACCAGGCTTGCGTTAAGTACCAAGAAGAAAGAGGACACATCAAAGGCAATTGTGAGATTTAGCCTCTAATCAGCTTGAAATTGTCCTTTAATTCACAATGTGTATAGGAAGTTAGACAAATTAAAAGTGTGCTTGGATGTATTTGTATGGGTACAACGTACGTCCTTCAAAGGTTAGTCTCCGCTCCTGAAGAGAGGTTTCACTTACAAATAATTTCACATTTGTTTCTGAAACACTATCCATCCCAAAACATAAATAGGATAGAAATGGGCTACTCTCCGTTTCTTCCTCAAGCAGGTTGGCATATGAGAGAGAAGCTTCCACTGGGTGAATCTTACAGTTTTGTTTGTTTTTCAAGGCTTTCATCTATCAGCTGCAGGATGCTGCTGCAACGCACTGAGATCATTACGGTCATCATCTAAACTCCAAGGAAACAGCTCTATTTACGTGTGGGTAAATAGAGCTGTTTCCTTGAAGTTTAGATGCCACAATAATGATAGAGTCATTTGGCAAGTGTATTCCTGCTCTCTCATAATTTAAGAAAGGAAAAAGCAAAAGGGGAATGTGTCTTTTGAACAATGGTGACACTGAACAAGGTTTTCCATAGAATGAGTGTATTATTGGGCATTTTTGTAGGGCCACTACGCAGTTTTCCAATGGAGGTCCCTCATGCATGTTCCCAACTTGTGGTAACGGTCCATGTCCAAATTGTAGCACACTTTAATTGTACTTATAATCGCTTTTATCTATAGCAAGCTGTAAATTGGCTTATTTGATGAAATTGCACTTTGGTGTTACTTGTTTCTTGTTTTTCTGGGTTTGTTTCCTTGTGGTTGAAATGCACTTATTGTGAGTCGCTTTGGATGAAAGCATCAGCTCAATGACATGTAATGTAATGTAAAATGTATCACGGATTGCCATTTCCGTATCTCTCTCTCTTGCTCTCTTTGCAATCATGAATCAATATCTATCTCAAGGTACTGATGCACGTGCCTCGGATCAACGGAGTTCAGTTCTGAGACCTGCAACCTACATTCCACTGGCAAAGTTCCAAGTAAAAGACTTGCAGAAAACAACTGTGTGTCTAACTGCTAAAAGCACAACAGCTCATAAGGTATCTAGTTTGTGCTTTTAAGAAAAAATCTACAAAACTGAAATGGATTAATATTACACAACCCACTCTAATCCCTTTGAGAATGAGGTCACAGGTTCTTCTCATGCAAGCTTGCAAGGAGGAGAAAAACACATTTGCAAAATCCAACTGTAATAGACAGTGCCAGCAGTACAGTTTGCATTGCTAAAATGATTAATCAAACTATTATTATATATGAAAGACTATCACAGTGTATGTGGAACATGTGTGGTCATTGCTTCACATGGACCGATGCCACATTCTGGTGAGTAACTCATTGACCTACGAGGACCAATCCGACTGGAGTTTGAACTCAAAAAATATAAGGAACCATTAGATGAACTGTCAGTCTTCAGGCAAGTAGCGTTACTCTTCCCACTGTTGAACATGGGTAAGTAAATTGCAGGAAGAATATCACGTTGTTGTTGTTGTTGTTTGTAAAGCACAATATTTAAAATAGTAAAATCACCAAAAGAAAGTATCTTTTTACATACCTGACAAAAATCCATGTTGTTCAGCACAATTCCTCGCTTGTGAATACTGAAGAGGTTTCTCACGATACTCTTTTTTTCTCCCTACATTACAGGAGCAGGAGGAATATTTGTATTATTCAGCGTATGTCTGATTTCCTTCTTGACACCTTGCGATGGAGGAAACATTCTGGTTTTTCCTGTGGACGGAAGCCACTGGATCAACATGAAGATATTAATTGAAGAACTTCATGCCAGGGGACACAGCATCTCAGTAATGAGGGCATCCACCAGCTGGTACATCGCAGAAGAATCCCCTCTCTATACATCGATTACCATGGAAATTAATGAAGGGATAGAGGACTTTTTTGATGCGTACGTAAAGGAGAATATGAAGGTATGTCATTATGGCTTATGTATTTTGCCCCACGTGGGTCCTCCATTCACTCAAGGGTTAATCACTTTTTCCCCACTTTCAGGCGCAGAGAGAAGGGGCTTCAGCGCTTACTTTCTTCAAGATCACCAAGAACTTCCTCTCCATGATTTCTAAGGCTCATTCATTGTGGGTTGATGCCCTTGCTCAAATCTTCGATGATGAACAATTGGTAAAAAGCTTGGTAGACGCGCGATACGATCTTGTTCTCACCGACCCGGCTATAGCACCAGGTATCTTACTAGCCAAATACCTCAAACTGCCCCTGGTGCTGAATGTCCGCTGGATCACCAGTGGAGATGGCCACTTTGCAATAGCCCCTTCACCGACATCGTACATCCCAGTGCCAGGATCAGGCTTCACGGACAAAATGAATTTCATCCAGAGGGTCAAGAACATTCTCTTCTATGGCATCATAGTGTTCCAGCAGAAATTCATGGTGGGGCCGACCTATGACGCCATCTGTGATAAATACATAGAGGGTGGATGTGACGTGATCTCGCTTCTCCAGGAAGCAGACATTTGGCTGTTCAGGTCGGATTTTGTGTTTGATTTCCCTCGGCCCACAATGCCAAATGTTATCTACATAGGCGGTTTCCAGTGCAAACCAGCTAAACCTCTGCCAGCGGACTTGGAGGAGTTTGTACAGAGTGCTGGCGAGCACGGGGTCATCATCATGACTCTGGGAACCTTGGTGAACGCTTTGCCCAAAGACGTTGCAGATGAAATCGCCGCCGCCTTTGCCAAGATGCCTCAAAAGGTAACACGTACTTTTTTTGCTTTCACTTTCTTAAAGACGTGGCGTGAAACGCTCTTATGATCTTGTGCAGATATTTAGGTAGCAATAAATTCATTATTTGATACATCACTTGTTGGCAATGTTAATTAGGAAATGCACAGAGGAATTAATGAAAACAAGATGGATGGATTGATTTATGGAGGAGTTAAACTTAAAAGATTACAAAGGATCTTTACCCTGTACTACTCAATATTCAAAAAGTCACTCAAAACTCCCCTTACACTACTTTGAACCTTTTTCAATATATTTTCTTTTAAAGTGTCATTGAGCATTTTAAAAAGCGTTTCTTTTTAATATAAAATGTATTGTGTGTTAAGTAGACATCGTCAGCATATCTGCATATCTGCTGGTGTACAAGCATGTCCTGACGTTTTCATGTTCTTCTTAGGTGATCTGGAAGCATAAAGGCGAGCGTCCCTCTACTATTGGCAACAACACTCTGATAGTGGACTGGATGCCGCAGAAGGACCTCCTGGGCCACCCGCAGACCAAAGTGTTTGTAGCTCACGGAGGAACCAACGGAGTACAGGAAGCCATTTTCCACGGGGTGCCCGTGCTCGGTATCCCGCTGTTCTTTGACCAGTATGACAATCTTCTACGTCTGCAGGAGCGGGGGGCCGGAAAGATCCTTCAGCTGGCGGATGTTAACGGCCACAGCTTTGAGGAAGGTGTTCACGACATTCTCCATCGTGACAGCTACAGACAGAACATGCAAAGATTGTCTCGTTTGCACAGAGATCAGCCGATGGGACCCATGGATCAGGCCATCTTCTGGGTGGAATACGTGATGCGCCATAAAGGGGCTCCTCTTCTGCGAACATCTGCCTATAAGATGCCCTGGTACTCTTATTATAGTTTAGATGTACTGCTACTATTGGTGACTGCGGTGACAGTACTGCTGCTCTCTATTTTGGCTATTTTCAGGTTTCTGTGCTGCAAAGCTAGAAGGACGAACAAAACTAAGCTACACTGATTGCGGTGAAATTAGTTTATAACTGTGTCTTCTCCAAAGTGTGGTGGTTAATACAAACCATAAATCTCAAAGTGTGTAATTTGTATATATTTATTATTTATGGAGTAGAACGCTAATTTGACGATTGATTTATCCATATTAAATAAAGACAGCTAAAGAGATTTGTTCCCCTCTACTATTTCAGAATGAACTGGCAAATGTAGTCAGACATTAACATTTCAGTTGTGAAAGCCACAAATGATTTGTAAACTCGGGTGAGTCATTTTTCAAAGGGTATACCTCTGAATTTGCAAATGGAAAAACCAAATGGAGTAATGTGGGTCTTTTGAGCAGAAGTGACATTGATGAAGTTACACTTGTCTGGCACGTCAGTGTTGGAGTTCCCCCGATTTGGTACTGCGACTTAAAATGAAAAGGAAGGAAATTAATGTTAAATGTTAAATCCCTTCTTACTGTGTTGTGTTCTGGAGGCAAAGCCATTTCCGACTGCTTCCATCCAAACACTTTAACCACAGATTTAATCAAGAGCCACACGTTCCTTTGCAGTCTCCGGACAGAACGAAGCTACACATGTACTTAAAGAATAATCTTTAGGCGAAATATACCAGAGACAGAGAGCCAAACTAAACTGTGAGGTTTAACTTGAAAGACGAAGCAACCAACTCACTCAAAATACAAACAGCAGGTGAGAAACTTTTCCTCCTTCGTTTGTCCATCGGCTCCTATAATCCAATCTTCCTGGTCTCAAGCCATTTTCTCATTCATTATGTGGCGGGGGGGCCGAGACCCCTCACTGATGCATGAGTCAGACATCACCTTGTTTCCACATGGTCATTATTCTGTCCAGAGCCCTGCTGAAGAATGGAAAGTACTTGTGCAGACTGTAACAAAAATAACCCTTGTGACGCTGTGATGGCAACTTTTATTTATTTAGACTTAAGCTGTTACATACGCTATTAAACACAACAGACCTTTTTCGGCATGGCTGGGTAGGTTTGAGCTATAATACTATTTGGATTGTTTACATTAAGCAGTTTATTTTACTACTAATTTACAAGTCATCTTTACATCATTAACACAGACTGTTAAACCTGCTGTGTAGCAGATTGCGGTCGGGTCGACAGTGTGTGTCGGCCTTGCTTGATATGTTCAGGGAGAGAGTGAGCTACCAAAATAAAAGGAAACACCTGGTAAAATAAGGAACACAGATTAACCAAGCTGATGGGGAGCAGTTTCCTGAAATTGCTGCTCAAAATCCCTCGGGAGTCAAAGTTAAACACCGGTTTCCACAAACGGATTCTGAGCTATCATTTTATTCTCATAAAGCGTTCAATTCTTCACGGCAGAGGTTTTTATGGCATCCGTTGTATGTATTTGTCTCTGAAAACAATAATTCATCAGCTCAAGCAAAAGTAAAGTAATGACTGAGAAAGTTTCAAAACAACTTTTATCTCTCACCGTTCAGACAATCCCTAAAATCAGTGTTTCCCTCCATCAACAAGGCATTAGATGTTGGAATCTTTTTCCAAAGGGGTTTAAGAAAGACTTGATGTTACCGGAATGAAGCGATTGCATATTTGTGTGAACTTGAGGGTAGGAATAATGAGCAACGCCACCACATAAAATATAAACGGTTGTTTCATATCTATTTGGACAGATAGCCGCACATTGTCTTTTACATCCAATGTAAAAGTATGGAGCCATGGACTCTCTGCTCAGACACTGATAATGATCCTTTGAGTAGTTGCCATCTATTTCTAATGTAATAAGACCCATCAAGAGTTCCGCCTGTGTATTACTTTGCCAATTCAGATGTGACAAAAAAAGGAACGTAAACATTTTGCAAAGACTGTGAGATCTTATTTAGCCGTATGTAAATCCTAATGTAGTTAATAATGTATTCAGGAAAAGGTTATAATGAAAAGAAACTCATGGGCTTGACTCCCAGGCATCTGCTGTAGGAACAGCCTACAAACATAAAACAGGTGCTGCACATGTCTCTGTCTTGTCACCTCTATCAGCAACTGTTACAAAGAGCACACAGCCTTTCTCACAGGGGCTCTGTGTGTTTTATCCGTTCCTCGTTCTGCTTTTTAAACTCTGCCCCCCCTTCCCGTCCTTCAGCCTCTCTGATTTTGCACTCCGTGTTTCCTTGGAAAACCCTTCTTGTGATCATGGTTGATTCACGGTATCATAAATGATCTGATACTACCCAAACACTAGTTTTCTGCAGCAGTGTGTTATGGTGTCATTGCCTCGAAGCTTACGTTTTTGTGAGTAACTGCTGATTATTGAAGTCATTTTGTTCCATGCCTCCTCTCTTTGGAGCAACGCGGAGGCAGCTATGTAGCCTTTTCTCATCATGTAACACACACACACACACACACACGCACACCCAAGGCGTGACATCATTTTCTCCATTGACACACAGATGAGAAGAATTGCTCCCTCTACGGAGGAACTGCTGGCCCAGAGGGCAAACTGATTCACTGCTCTGCACAGCCGTTCTGCTTCGGCCGGGGCGTTTGCACGTGTTGCCATCTGTTGAGTCTTGAAAAATCATAATCATACTTCAGCTATGTGAAGCTCTCCCAGACACCATTTGTTCCGTATGTAACAGTGAAACATTCTTGTGGAAAATATCTTTTGATACAGAATACGAAAGGTCAATGAAATGTCTGAGATCAGTATTAATGATCGGTTTGGAAATGTGTGTCGGTCACACTCCGTGATGGTAATTTACTCTGGTGACAGCAGACTTCTCTCGATCACTATAAATATCAGATCCATGGCTGTGGTCAGCTGGTTTTAATGCTGTCTGGCACAGATCATGGAAGGGAAGAGTGTGCTTTGGTCAAATCCTGGGACTGGATACAGTGAAATTAAATGTGTCCAAAATGTGTGTTCATCAGGGGAATTAATGCCAGAATTAAAACCACTACCCACTACGTGGCGGATGGGTCGAGAGGGTGCGTCGGGAACCGCAAGGTTGCTGGTTCGAGCCCTGGCTGCTCCATGAAACCATGTTGATGTGTCCCTGAGCAAGACACCTAACCCTTAAAATGTAATAAGGCATGGGTTAAAAAATGCAATATAAATCGCTGTGGATAAAATGCCAGCTAAATTACCTGTAATGTAAATCAGTACTGGTATGTCACAAAGACACAGCGCGTCACCAAGAGGGATGATTCTATTTGTATGTTTATTACTTTTTAAAAACTTTATTCACTTTGTGTGATCAGAAAACACAGAGACAACGCGAAGCAAAAAAGAGTGGATAGTGAATTGTAAAGAATGTGCTCATCTACATATATTGTTAAAATACAAATAGAAACAAACAATGCAGTTAATATTGGTTTTATCTTAAAAAGGAAATTGGCAAAATGATTGTCAAAAGTTAACGTTCAACTCAGTAGCCTTTGTCTCACTTCCATCATAAACAGTGTATTCATTCGGTTGATTTTCATTTATTTTTTGAACCTATTGTACTCCTTTATTATTGCATGTATCTGTGGAGGACTGTGTTCATACTTGGCCAAGAGCGGTTCCTGGAGAAAGATGACATGATCTAAATCACATCAACTGTTCTGGGTTGAATGTGTCTTTGAGAGATTCATCCAACAGTGTATTCGATTGCAGAGGGAAACAATTAGGCCATTATGTCATCATCCCAACATTATATGACAGGGAACTATTAGTGCCAAAACATAGGCGCCTGAACAGAGAATGGAAACACTGTTCATCCGATCTTAGTATTACTGAAAACATACAAGGTTGTGTCATGTGTCTGTACATAAGCCTCACTCGTGGAGGAATCTACTATCTTTTTTTAATATATTTTAGGACCTTATGATTTGAATTGGGCCGTTCAAGTGGGACTTGCTCCCATGCTCGTCCTTTGTGCGGTTTCTTATAGAATGGTGCAAGCCTTTCCAAATTATGCACAATCAATTTAACCTAACCACAGGTGATCAAAGATGGATGATCAGGGATTAACACAAATAGCAAACTGCTCAAGACAAAATCAACAGAATAGTTAATTATTTCAGTTTGAGTTTCAATGGAAATTATTGCAGAGACTCTAAACTTCTGCACCTGTGTGCACACGTAGGAAGCCGTCATCCTGTCAAGACCTCTTTTTATCACCTTTTATCAGCACTCTGTAACGTTTGGCCCGCAGGCTGCTGCCGCCATGGATCATTTTAGTGATCTTGGAACAGATCTATGCATACAGTGCTATTTCATAGTTTTTGGCTCAGATACCCATGTTAAGTTTTTTCACAGGAGGAAAATACGTTGCGATGAACTCCAAGAAAACATGAGTCACACACTGTAAAATTACTTGTAAAGAGAGCATTGTGTACTTTTCAGGTTATTCTTGAATTCTGGCCTTTTATTGTGTGGATTGTCTACAAGAATATTCTCACTATGTCACCAATACCTTTTGTTGCTTTTTAGGAACTTGTTTCTTCATAAGTAGATGTGATGAGATGTGAACATAAGTGATCCCAAGTCAATGGCAGATTTCCAAGTGTATCCTAAATTCTCAAGAGAAAGAATGTGGTTCTATCTGCTTCACACCTTCAAATAAATGTTAATATCTTGGATTGTTGATTTTCTGTAAATTGTTTACTAAAATGAAAACCCTATACATGCATGTGTACAGACTGTAAAGCCCTCTGAGGCAAATTTGTAATTTGCGGTTTTGGGCTATAGAAAATAAAATTAATTGAGTTGAATTATTATTATTTCACCTGTCCAAGATCACGCCTACATGGAAAACATGTATTTACATGAAAATGTATTAAGTGAAACAATTGTGCCGCTAGGGCTGGACGCTAAAAGTATTTTGGCCAAAAACTCAGTATTTTTTTTAGATTCTGAAAGTATTCCAGGATATAAGTAACCATTCATTGACCACGAAAAAGACTGGCGGCCACCTGAACAGCTGTCCACCGCTCGCTGGCCAACTGGCCGGGAGTTGCCGTGTCAGCTTGTTGTGCTAGTGTTCACCAGAGGCAACACCAGGGCCTCGAAAAACATTGCAATAAATTGTTACAAACTGTTTATGTGTTTCACGAGCTGTGGTGTTTTATCTTGTTAAAGAGCGTTTGTTCTGGGTTATTTATTGTCCTTAGAAAGTTATCACAGTGACTCAGTACATGCAAGGCAAGGAGCTCCGACCGCCATTGGCTGAGTGAGTCGTAAGTGTAAATGTTGCTGCCGAAGGCCGAGAAGGCCTTAATGTAACCACAGTTTTTACGGCATAAGATCGGTATGAGGATATGAGAAGGAAACTCTCATAAGGTAGACCTATGTCAGAACGGTCTGGGTATACAGGAAAGGACTGAGGTAAAGGTCACATTAAATGCATCAAACAATGATTTTGAGGAGTAAAAACAGTCAAGTTTGAAAGAATCACTGAAAAATAGATGCAGTTTAATTGTATTTTCTCTAATCTCAATGGGATAATTTACAGAGGTTCAGAACAGCATCTGTTAAAAGCGCTGTTTACATTTGTCATATGCATGAAAAGACACTGTAAAGGATACAAGCACCATAAAAAACATCCCAAAATCTTCCCAAGCCAATCGTTTACAAAGTGAAACTTTGGCGGAGATATCTCAATTAAACACCATCAAGGAAACATTCCATATTTCCCTTGCACATTCACAAGACTTATAAGGTATTCTGTTTCCATTGCATTGCTTATACACGTCATGGTTATCACACGCATTATGGACCAGATAAAATAGTAAACAATCATTCTTACAGGTGGTTTGGAAACGGAAATAGCTAAACTGGTTACATCTCTCCCTATCGGTCCACAGTTTCACAAGCACTCAACCAGGAGCACCTCAAGATGCTTTCAGTCTCCGTGCCCAAAGGTGTTTTCTCTCTTTTCGATTCACTCCCTTGGTTTAGGGTGACGCCTGACCAGCTGTTTTCTCCTCTTTCTCATTCCAACTGTACAAGAGAAGGTTAACGGAGGCAATTGGAGGTGTGAATAAAGACAAGGACAAAATAAAACATGTTAAGGTGGAACGACTCAAAAGTAGATAATCGAATGTAAAAAAGTGCCGTCAAATACAACAGTGAAAATGTTTGGTTAAAGATGTGACTTTCACTCTGCATATTGTGCAGCAGGGATTACATGTTTGACTCATCCAACATTGGTGTTGATCAATGTGCTCACCTGCAGCTTTCCTGGCAGCAGCGAACCCGCCTCCGTCTGTGAAACAAAGAAAAAACACAGTTAAATACTGTGTTTTGGCACACACACAAAGACTCACACACACATACACACACACAGACACACACATGTATGTGCTGTTCAAAATCTGATTAGGTCAGACGTAGTTACGAGGATTTACCTCGAATGAGTTTGGTTATTCTCTCCGATTCCTCATCGACTCGATTTGGGTTGCCGTGGATGGTGGTGATCTTAGAGAAGTCCGCGCCTTTTGTGCATAACAAGACCATTACAATTATTGCAAATATTGGAACAATTTAACATATCAAGCTAAATACGAAACAATGCACCTTATTCTCTTTTCCACCTTGAAGCAAACACTAATCCCCTCTGAATGCAAATTGATTATATGATTATTTCAAGAAGGTATTTGAATGAAACCTACTGACCGGCAGAGTAGAAGGTTGTCCCTTAACTAAACTACACGTTAGTAACAACAGACTGACAGGTACATACACCCCCACAAACAAAATGAGGTTAGCTACAATAGTTAACTCACGTTTTGCCTCAAATTTGGGGTCAGAATAATTTTTATATTATGTATTAGGAAAAAAGTAATTGGATCTGATTGATGAAAATAGAATACGGTAATGCAGACAAGCATACAGTGTCATGTGATAATTTTCCATATTCCCTCAGTATATGTAATAGATAATCACCAAGGATACTTGACATTCCCATTAGAGGATCATGCTTGGTAAACTGTGGTAAACAGGATTACTGATGTATTTGTTAAAAGAGACGTTAGAAGACACATGACAGTTCTTTGATTTAGAGTGTTTTAGCTTTTCAAAGAAGTTGATATGTTAAGAGAAACTGACCTGCAATCAATTTTCTTAAGCGTTCAGGAACTTACCCTCAATAACTCTTGTAACCTTAGTCACGGAGGGTTCTCCTGCAATGACTCTGGTGACCTTTGCAAAGGAAGGGTCCCCCTCAATGACCCTGGTTACCTTGGTGATCGCTGGTTCTCCCTTGACAACCACCTCAGTGATCACTGGATCTGTCTGGAAGACTTTTGTGACCTTGGTGAAAGTAGGCTCTTCAATGTAGAGAGGGAGCGGTAACATGAGTATACTTCCAGAATGACAGGAAGAAAACTTTTCCCTTGAACACAGTGTGTCAGTATATGGGCAATTGTTAAAGCAGGTGAACGCGTGCAGGATCTCGGGCTGTATTTTATGAGCCGCTGCTGTTACACTCCATGGTGTTGTGTTTGAAGAATGACATTCAGTCATGTCCATGTGCATACAATATGGACACGTTTGGGGATCAGTGTCTACTGATTTAAACAATGCAAAATAAAGAAATAAATGATCCCAGTTTTCTGAAGTCAATCAATTCACATCTGGGGCCAGATTTTCTCCTCTCTCCCCAGAACTCCTCTTTTGAATCACCTTCTTTTTTTCACTTCGTTTTATGTTTTCCATTTATGAACAATGATCTTTTAATGTGCCAGGATTTATGCAAGTTGTAAAAAGCTGAGAGTTTACAAAGTTCTTTTGCATTAGAGGCCTTTTGATCTTTGGGTTGCCTTCCGTGGATACAGTATGTGGCCGAGTCCAGTAAGTTTGTGTGGGTGTGTGTATGTGTGTGAATACCAAGTGTTACTGAGTATTCTGGATGGTTTCACAACCATTTGTGCAGTTTAGCGTTCATAAACTAGCTCTATTATATTCAAAGTACTGCGGACCAAGACCAATCGCTGCCATGTAAATTCTTACTTCATAATAAATGTGAATCAAAAGAAAATGCACCCGAGGTCCAGACATTTAGCTCTATAGTCCATGTCAGAAAAACCTCTAATTACCATTGAAAAACTGGACTTCATTTCTGCATGTGTCTGTGCAAAAGTGAGAGTGGATAATCTTACCTGTTTTAATGTGTGTAGTTGTGACGGTTGTCCCTGTAAAATAAGATACGTAGTTTTAGGTTGTTGCAAATGCAATTTAATCCACTTCATGAGTGCTATAGAGGCTTACTTATGAACGTCAGGGGAATCTCCTCATAAGTAAATCCAGAAGTATACTGTTGAACGAAAAGTATAAAAAAGCAAAATAAAATGCATAGGACTCACAACACAATTAAAAAGATTCACATTGATCTATGCATGTTCAGACGCAGTCTTTTCTCTCTTTATCTACCGTTATATGGATGTACTTGATCAGCTTCTTCAGGAGGACCAGGAGGTCCTGCCGGCCCACGGGAAGATCTGTAAGAAATATACATAATCAACATAACAAAAATAATCCCTATAAGCACAGTGTGCACATTGCTTAGTAACGTCTGGTGTTCTGACCCGCGGGATAGAGAACATTCTTCACCACATGGACGACGCCGTTTGTTGCCATCAGGTCACTGTTTGGCACGTCCACAGAATTGACATGAATGGAGTTGTTTACCTGTCAAAAAGAGAAAAGAACCCACTATATGCACATTTTTGGCACATTTTTAAGGTTATTAATAAACACATTCCTCTTTGGCAAACTACGTCAGCTACTGCGTGAAAATATTTTAAAGACGTACAATTTCATGAGATGGTTTAACGTGATGGTTTTGTGGTGCGACTGAGGCTGCTGGAAGGGAGGACGGGGCACTTTAAGGTGGAGGTGATTGAAGCTGTACACGTTGAGTCAGTAAGAGATATTTTTTCCTTTTCTTCTGGCTCCTCTGGCTCTCTCTCGCCCACCAACCATGTGGTTAGGCGTTTAAATGAACCTCTGACCCAAGGGGGGAATCATTTCAAACAAGCTTTCCTTTGTCCTTTTATGAAGTCGTTGGCTGATGACCTGATCACCTGATCACTGCGATCACCGCGATAGGAGAGTGGGAGGAAAATTGAGGCTATGGGTGAAGTGATGAGAAAACTGGCATGAAGACTGAAGACTGAAGAACAAGGCCCACCGAGAGTAGGCGACAGAAAGACGGGTTATATTACTTTGGCCTTTCTCCAGAGATATCCAGCTTTGAAGAAACAGATTAGCTCGGGCTCTTTAATTATAATGTCTCAATGAGAATGTGGTGAGAGAAGTTTGACAAGTTTTACAATGGAGGCATTAAGAAAAGAAAAACAATGTATAAAAAACAATTTATTTAAAAAAATAAAAGAAATTAAAAGAAAAATCTCCTTCAGTGGATAATTACCTCCAAGTTATTTTTTTTTAAAGAAACATGGGCAGAAATCGAAAGCTCGCAACTACTTTGTTGTGTATGATCACGGTTACACATCTTACTATTCTACAGTCGATGTGTTGAATTTCTTGTGCTGATGTTACCTAGAATGTATTCCTTCCTGTGTGATTGTAGAATACTGTATTCGGGAAACCACTTCTGGCGCTTTCATTCTAAACTCACAAAGACACGCTTGAGTGACCGGTTGTACGTACAGACATCACTTGCAGGTTTTTGCCCTGGAAGGTTTTGAGCAGATTGGTGACTCCTCGCTCTAATCCTCCGTTGATGAAGATGCCGTTACTGAAGTGGTACAGCAAAATGGTTCTCAGAGCATTCAGATCACCTGACGATGACAGCAAAAGGAAAAACACAGATTACATATCTGAGTGTATCTCAATGAATACACAAAAGTATGTGGATGTGTCTTCATTTGAGAAGAGTACCCACTTTTGAGCAGAGCAAGTTCCTCTTTACTGAGGTTATCAAAGGCATCGTCAGTGGGTGCAAAGATGGTGTAGGAGCCTTCTTGCTTCAGCAGATTGGTCAGACCTGCTGTCTCAATCAGCGACAGAAAAATCCTAAATTTGTAAAAAAAAGAATACATGTTTTATATTCCACAAAAAAAAATAAAAGTAGACATTTTCTGCCAGTTCTGTTGACAGTCTCAGTGTAAACTACTGTGTTTAGAACTGAACAAACTCAAGCTAGTAAGGATATCAACTTGCGTTTGAGCCAAAGACTGGTAGGATGCTTCATATAAACAATGATTACATCCAAAACGAAGGCAAAACGTCCATAAATTAAGGTGTTTTTCTTACTTGAACCGCCTGTCAGCGATCAGGAGCTCATAGATGGTTTTCTCGGGCGGTTTGATGAGAGTCCTCATAACATGGAGCGCACTATTGCTTCCCTCTTTACTGCCACGCACCATACATGCATTTTCTATGCACACAGCCTAACAAAGAAGAACAACATGGTAAGAAGCCTTTCCTGTTGATTGCAATCAATCAAAAAGAAGAATACAAAAGCTTGTAGGAGGAAATCAAACCCAGCTGTTATCTATTATCTGGACCACCTGAGCAGTAAAACACAGAATCTGCCAACAGTGGGACTAATATGCTGTTTTATTACATTTGCTTTTAATTGAAATATTGCCAAATCATGTCAACACTGAGTAAGGGGCCCAGAAATGGCTCTCAGACTTCCACTGACAGACAGGACTCTGATCTATCTGATTAACCTGTTCCTTTCTGAGCACCTCTGTTTGACTTTCTTCTACAAGCAAACACACGTAAACACACAAATACGTAGTTCTCACAGTGCGGTAAATGAAGACTCGGAGCAGTTTGCCAGCCACGGTTTCCAGCGTCTGTCCATTGTAGAGCTCGCTCAGAGTAACTTTCATCTTCAAGATGTGGTTTTGCAAAAGGAATTTCAGCACGTTTTTATCTGTCACTTCATCTGACAAAAGAAGAAAATAGTTTAATTTATAATTCAAAATGAGTCTGGTAATATTAGATGCCGGCCCTCAATAGACATTTCTTCGTCTGTTTCCCTCAAAAGTTCTGGTGAAATGTCGAAAGTGAGTGAGTGTATTTCTGATCCGTAAAAGATTCCTTTTCTTTCACATCCTTGCTCACGGTCGATTCTCTAAATCCCGGGGCCTGTCTGGAGCGCGACTCACGTGTGAAGGCAGAGTCGAGAGGAGCGAGGAGTGTGTACTCTGTCTTCGGACCCAGGGCAGCCGAAAAGCCCATTTCATAGAGCATGTTGCTGAAGGTGCTCTGGGAGTCTCCCATCAGCTCCATCCCTTCCTTGGCTGATACGAATCACATAAACGTTACATGTTTGTGAACACAGAAAAACCCTTCGGCCGAATGATTAAAAAAAAAAAATTGATCAACTAAGGGGAAATGTTCAAGATGTGTTTTACCTGAGTCAGGGATGAGCACCTGGTCGATGAAGTGGATGACGCCATTGGTGGTGACGACGTCCTTCTTCAGCACCATCGTGATTCCATTGACCGTCAAGCTGTCGCCGTCACAGCCGATCTCGATGGTGCTGCCCTCTGCGGTCTCGTACGCGGTCCCTGACATGATGGCTTCTGAACACTGGACACTGCTCAGCAGGTGGTAGTTCACCAGGGCTGGCGAGTCGAAACGAGAGAGAAAGATGGTGTGAAACAGAAAAGGTTCCTGATGTTTAACACCTTGTGGTTTGATATTAGTTAATATTAGTAGCCACGTTACTATTGCTGACACTATAACTGCTTTTGTTATCATTGTTATTCTACTGTATCCTCTGCTGTTGATATTATTGCACATTTCTGATTATTATTCTGTTATCTACTCTCAATATATGAATAATTTATCTAGAAAGCTTTGAACATGCCGTACATTTTAAATTGTTCATTCTGCGCACATGACATATATTGCACTTCTAGCCATACTTTAAGGAGAAATCCCTCTTAAGGTTTCTTTTTCTCTCCCCATTAAAGATTTTTTGGGAGTAGATGTGAAGGTCCCGGTCTAACCCATTGAAATTAAATTAGATTAATAAAATTATTCTTACATACAAGATATGATTTTACACCTCTGACTAAGCCCAACTGTCAAATTGCAATCAATGTTCAAATGTTCACAACAACCTCTCAGTATGCATTCATGTCAGCAGTGAGCAGTTTATGTCATCGTATAGTGTGTCCCATGTAAAATGTACCTGCAATTACAGCCTTGTCTCCCATGATACGCTCCAGGTAGCCTGGGCTCAGTTTGTCAAAGGCTTCATTAGTGGGGGCAAACAGGGTGTAGTGGCCAGGCTGGTCCAGCTTGTCCATCATACCAGAAGCCATTACTACATTCTGGGTAACAAGCAAAACACGAAAACAGTGTGTCACACATTTTACACACATTCCACTCCCTGCAAATTGAATGCAACATTGTTTTTGTAAACCATTTTTTCAGCTTAAAGTCCTTTTTATATTACATACCGTGAAGGCGGAGAGATCGTCGGTGACGTCCAGGACTTCCTTGATGTTGTTGCTAACACTGCTGATGACCCGGTCAATGACATGCACCACACCATTTGTGGCCACCTGATTACCAAGGACGATCCTGGCACAGTTCACTGTCACAATCTTCACAGAGAGGAAATGTCACATCAAGGCAAAAGCGTCATTAACGTCACAACTTCTCTATAGAAAAAGGCATTTGTTCTTGTGATCTTGTGCATTTTAACAAACTGACCCCATTGGAGTAGTGGTTGACGTACAACCCCAGGTTGTTGTACATGGAAGTGAAAGTCATGTCGTTCTTCATGTCTTTGGTCAAAATGCGGCGGTTCACCATATGGAAGTGAAGCGCGTTGTACAGCTCGATGTTCACGTTGCTTACCAGTGCAGACCGCACAGTCTAGGGAAACCACAACATTAGGGATAAGCAAGTGTTAGTAATTAATGCATTCAGTTATTTTCCCTTTACGGAAGTCTGAACCCTCCAATCCACTTACAGAGTCCACCAGATCCCAGGCATCATTGCTAGGTGCAAACATGGTAAAAGAGCCTTGGCCTTCAATTTCCTCCCTCAGCTTGGCCGTGTCAGAGTATTGCTGCGTGGTCGTAGCCTTTATGAGCCCCAGCGTACCGTAGACATGGTCAATGGGAGCCACTTGAGGAGAGGAGAGGAAATGTTCTTACTTATTAAAGACTAGTCTATACTAGGAGTGTATACCCATTGTTAATTTGCCAGAAAAGAAGACCAGGAAAAGAGGCTGTTGTGAGCTCTTACCAGCAGGGCATCCTCTCATACCCTCCAGCTTAATGTATCCAGGACAGCATTCATATAGAACCAGGCTTATGAAAAAAACAAACATGTTAGACCCTTGATACAATAGATATATAACTGATAAACATAAATGAACAATATTCACAGACTGTGAACATGAATAGAAAACTAAGACAACTGAGTTTTAATAAGAGAGGACGACAATCATTTGTACTTTAAGCATTGAGAACATCTAAGACAGAAGAGGCTGCACAAAGACGGAGTCATAGTCGCCAATTATGAATTCCATAAATGGGCAAAGCACATTCAAAAGTTAAAGCAGAAAAAAGTGACAGTGCGTTCATCAAACGCACAGCGTGTGAACTTCCCGGCAGCCAATCACAGAAAAGAGCTGGAATACAATTCAAAATCCCAGGAAATGTAAAAGAAAAAATGTAAAAGTGGAAACATGAATGTCAACATAAAAACCAGACAGGGCTGTCTGGTGTCCCTCCTAGCTGCCCTCTCTGTTGGTCATTCCTCCCAAAGATGTTTCCAAGAAAAACAGAATCCTGTCATACAAACGATTTCTTTTGAATATGTGATGGTTTGAGGTCTTTGGGCGAAAGTTGAAACTGATTGGGCCTTTTAACTCCAAAACGGAGCTGTGCAGCTGACTCGAGCTCTTAAAGCAGTTGTATGGTTGACAGGAAGTCAACCCGCCTTTTATTGCCGTGTTATGAATGACTATTGAGGTGAGAATAGTGCGAGCCACAAGTGAGTATCTTGTAAAAATGAGGTTAGGTGGGGGAGTATGAACCCCGGACGGCAATCAAACATTCAGACTTTTCATTTGGACTTCTCCAAAGCTCACGAAAATCTTACAAGAAGAAAAGAAACTAGCAGTGAGTCAACATTGGACGCCCAATTTTTGGTTTCCTGCTTTCTGTGTTCCCAGGGAATCGCTGTCAATGTAAACTCTCTGCTTTCTCTTCAGGGTACAAAAAAGAAACAGTTTGCTGTCATTTCAGAAATCGAACTGAAGTAATCTATCATGCATGAGAAAAATACTCCCTTCATACCACTTCCACCGTGATCCCATACACACACACACACACACACACACACACACACACATTCTGTAGACTTACAACATCACTCACTTTCTCCCTTTTGCTCTTATAAATGACTCACACATTTTGGCAAAACTCTTTTATCCACTTTATCAGCACTGGTGTTTTCATGTTGTCTGCGATTATACTTTGAATTTGACTGTGTTGACACTAATTGTTGTTAATGTTAATTAAAAAAATTCAAATTCTCTCCGACTCTGACAGGATAATAGAAGAAGTATTGAGACAAAACCAGCCAGTATTTACATTTTTCCCTCAGCTCTCGCTTTTATCCAAAGTGACTTACAACACGTGCATTGAACCCAGAGAGTACGGACCCAGAACACAAGGAATCAGCAAAGGGCCAACTAGGGCTTTTTTGGCGGAGTCACTGGATGAACTCAATGTGGCTTCCAGATGAGCAGTTTTGGAAACACGGGGCATGAAAACACACAACACACACACACACATGGTGTACTCACACGGAAACACTAGGTGGGGTTGTTTGGCTTCGGATAACGTCATTGCAGTTTTTTTTCCTGTTATTTGATTAACAACAGGCTCGCTTGTGTCCTCATCAGGGGAGTGTTTTTTTTCTGCCGTGCCAACCGCTTGGGGAATACTGGCCAACATTTCCCTTTTTTTATATATGGGAATTTACTTGTCCATTGCTCCCTCCGTGTTGTGTTGCCACCCGCAGCACATTACTTTGAAAAGAAATTGCTAACACAATACCCTCCAGCGACGCTCTTCAAAAGATCTTCTGAATGAAGGCATTATTAAGTCCCCATGGTAACTTGTTAGAAAAAAAAGGGCATATTAAATTCACACCAGCATAATTTGTTCTTTGCGAGAATCAGGCCAAGTATAACCTCAATCGCTGCACCCTCCAGACTTGTTTAAACAGGTGCTTGTTGGCACACTGGAACATCCGGAGGACTATGCTTTAGATTCAAACAACCTCTCTTAATCCCTCATCAACATCAAATCCTGCTCAGACATAATCATTGCTGGCTTGGATTTCCTCCACTGCTCCTGAACAATGGCCGTACTGTGACCACAGAGACACAGGGCACATGCAGCTGGCTTTGTTTAGCTTTGTTTTTTCACTAATACCTATTTTCTTACTAATTGGTAATTTGAAATCATTTTTGTACACTGCCAGTTTTTTTATAACTCAATGAACTTGTTTTCAGCCCTTATTACAAAGGACAGCCATATTATCTCATTAGAGTCCATCACTTTACCGTAAGGAGAAAATTCACTTCTGGACTAAATCCCTCTATTGTTCCATTCTCTCTCTCGTCTTCTTTTTTTGCAGGCTCATCCTGACTCAGCAGAAGGTATAACGGCTGACTAAAAGAAGGTGTGTGTGTGTGTGTGTGTGTGTGTGTGTGTGTGTGTGTGTGTGTGTGTGTGTGTTTGTGTGCATGAGTGTGAACAGCTCCAGTCGAGCCTTACACTCCATCAAAACATCATCTATATTTTATATTTCCTTAAAATAAATTTAATAATAACAACAATAAATAAATTAAAGGGTTTGCTATATGACAAGGCTGTGTGGAAGCTTGGAGCATTTGCAATTTGGGTAAAGTTGTGAATAACTCATGACATCACAGAGCAATTAGATCCATTCACACTTTTGGTAAAAACCTACGTCTTCTTGCCACAGATGGAGCCTTTGTACCAGTTCCTGCATGTGCTGAAGTACTTCTTTTTAGACCCCTGGACCTGTTGCAGGGCGCACACATTGGGTCTGTAAGAGAAGGAAGCGGGTTAGGAGGTGATGAGGGTGCGACAGGGAAAGCGAGATGGGGTGTTGAAAAGAGAAGTTGAGTCAGAATGTGGGGAAAGGAGAGAGATCAGGAGGTCAGGAGAATAAGGACGTATTCAGCACCGTATATGTTCAAATCTCCTTTTGTCTAATCTAATTAATAATGGTCAATTTCAGAAAGTAATGAGATATAATTACTTTACAGCAGCAGAGTGAATTAATGTGCCGGGTAATATGGAATGTTTCTTAAATTTTTTTATTTGCTCAAATCAACAATTTAATCAATACGGCTGACCCATTTTTCAACACATGATCCACTGCGTATTGTAATAAAACCACCTGAAAACGTTCCATGGATAAATAATCTGAACTTTTATTTGGGGACATATATTTTGTCTAGTTGGAGAAATTACAGATAATCTAGTAAATTAGAAAAAGATGCTGCGCTGTTCTTTAAATTTGGCATTTGTCACCTCTCTCTCTCTCTCTCTCTCTCTCTCACTCCTCAAACGGTATTACAATCCCAGCCTCCCTTCCACATGTCCCATCTCCTTACCCTTCTTTCCTGGCCCGTATGCGACTGTGGGTGACAATCTTATCGTAGGCAGAAGTATCCACACTCCCTAGAGAGCAGAGCGCCACCAGCACTGAGGTAACCACAAGCAGCTGATGCATCCTGGGAGGGGAAATCCGTCCTCAAGGGCACGAACACACACACACACACAAGCCCGCTTCGGTTGTCTTACAAACACCCCAAAAATGAAAAACACAGGAGATTTGCGAGTTTGAGGACGAGAGGGAGCCTTTATACCGACCCTCTAACACACACCCATACCCACCCGCCCTCGTCTTACTCCCTCACTGCCTTTTCCATACCATTACGTCCTGCTCTCACCCACACACAGCCTCCCAAAATCCTCCCTTTTCTTCAAAGTTAGAGTTTCCACCTTGCCTCACATTGCTGGACATGGATTTTTCATAATTTTTATAACCACCATCACATCCCAGAGCACCAAGGACATCCCTACCTCAACGTTTGTTCTACCCACATCTGTGAATTGATTCTTTGCTAATCGTCTTTTGACCCAGCATCTTTGGATAGAGTAGAGTATTTGTATTCCCCATCGTGGTTAATAAATGAACAAGAAAGACAGATTAAAAATCAATCTATTTCTCAAACACGCAGAGGAAGGAAGACCACCGCAACTAAATATGTGTCAATCAATTGACTTAATTGTCTTAAATAGGCAATGAAATACGGCTGCAAAATGAACTCAGAGTCCTTTGGGGATACATCTGAGTAGGTAATGGGTTTACACTTTGCGTGACAGAAGCCATGCTTTGACCATCCCTCCCTTGGAATACCACTCTCCTAATTACTTCCACAAAAAGGATTCATCATTTTCCCAAGCCTTTCCTCCCCTGAACTCCCCTTTGTGCGCAGTCTCCTTTTTTTATTCCCTAAATCCTCCCTGCTGTCATGTTCATCGCTCATCACTTTCTTCCCCGGGCCAGACTTTTACAGCTGTCTCCGCCTCCCGTGTGTTGAAGCCAAATCCGATACTGCTTCAAAGGGGGAAATTCGTGGTGGAAAAGTCTCCACGGACGACGTCATGTACGGGCTTGACTTGTGAACACGAAGTATATCAAATATGCCTCTGAACTCGGGAACATGCAGGAAAGGATTCTTTTGTTGGTGTTGATTAATTTCACTGAGAGCTAAATCTTGCATTTAGCAGCATGGTGTATATGTGAATGTTAAGTTTATTATAATAAATGTATATAATGCAGCAAAGCAAAGACTAGAACGTTTTACTTTGGGTGTCCTTGGTTAAGGAAAATACACAGAGGGCAGAAATGAAGATATCTGCGTGGAATGATCAACATAATTCATTACAGACCATTACAGATGAACTGACATGACCCCTCTGATCCAGCATGGTGCTGGAGGCTGAGCTATCTTAATTTTTAAAAACAACTTTTCATACTGGGAACTCATCTGCAGCCCAGCCTGGAATTCACATTGTTTGGAAATGATTAATAATTTCCTTGCCTTTTTTTGTTTTAAATCCCCACCCAAACACCGAAGCAGATACAAATATAATACATTTGTATCTGTTCTGTCAGCTTTCCACAGACCTTTAACAGGAACTTCAACCCGGTTGCACTGTGGCTTCCCAAAGAACTTTTCCACAGTTCACTCCAGGTTTTAGGTGGTTCGTTTGATCTAAAATCCTGCAAAGCGATATTGGCACAGAAGAAGCCCTGAGAAGGAAACCCAAATCTGTGATGATATCCCCCCTTAGTGGAGATGACTTGTCAGTGCAGCCATGTGTGAGTCATCTGTAAATTGGATTACAGATATTTTAAAAATGTCATTAACATATGTAACAACACCAAAAACTAAAGTTTACATCAAGTTTACAAGTTAATGCATGTTCATTTTTGCATGTATGTGTGTTGTTCATTTGGATAGATGTAATTGAAACTGTGAACCTTGTGTATTCATATTTAAAGACTATCGGGAGTTACAGAACTGATCCGTTTTGTATTGCATTTGCATTGTGAGTCTGAGCGTGCTTGTGTACTTCCTTTTCAATGATGTGTTGCAGCATCAATGACAGTCTGGTTCAAGTTGGCAGATCAATCGCGAACCCGAGGGCGTTTCTGCACAGCTTAATCCCACGTGGAGCAGTTTCACCGACTGTTCAATACTTAATCTCTTATTCATGTTCCTCATCAATTGTTAGCAGATTGAACTCATTGATGAACAAATAAAAAAAGTGAAAGAAAGCAGCCAAAAGATCAGTTGGGGAAAAATGTGTTAAAAAAGTCCAGTCACGGGGTCGTTTTCTTTTCATGCGTGACTTTTTGACGGAGTGAGTGGTTTCTGAGTTCAAACTGTGAATACCTAAATTAAATTATTGTCTGCAAAAGTAAAATCTTAATAACAGAAACGACTCAGCAACAATAGAACCCCCTCCCACACCCTCCAAAAAAATATATTTAATAATTAATAATAATTTAATTTAACGTTTCTCACAAAATAGCATGTTTATTTTCTGTGGGAGTGAATAAAAACATCAATAACATGTTATTTTAAACGTGTGTATCCCCCATTAATCTTCATCAGTAACATTCAACTTTATGTATGAGAATACTTCCTACGTCCTGAACATCACTGTTAAACGTGCCTCTGTCCTCTTCAGAATGATGAGAATCACAATCCCAAGTTTTGCATAGAAAAACATTGACAGGATTGTGTTGCATAATCAGAGCTTAGAAATTATTTCTTTATAGAGTGGGAATAAAATAGATTTTGTCCGAAAATCTAAATCCTTGCTATGATCACGTTGACCTCAGTTTACCGTGGCTGCATCTCCACTTCTTTTTTAACTGCATTTAAAACACTTACACCAAAATAGTCTCCGAAGAGCACATCTGATCAACAGTTGGAAAAGTTAAAAGTCTTTGCCTTCCTTGAAACTCGCATGAATTGTCTCTATCCCTCCTTTCTTCAGTCCAGCATCACTTGGCCTTCAGGTTTAGCTGCGTACCATCCTAGCTTATGCTTCTTCTCCGGACGACGTTGACAAACATCCACCAGCGATTGAGTCACTGCAGGGCAAACTCTCCTTTTCCTTTTCCTCTGTTTCTTTTTTTCCACCTTCATCGTAAGTCTCCGATACATCGATGTTTTCCTTCGGGGCCTCATTCGTCACAGCTTCCTCTTTCCTCTCTGCGTGCGGGAGTCCTTCCTCATCCTTACCTTCTGGTTGAGTCTGTGCGTCCGAGCCACAGGACTCCCCTGCCTCCTCTGGCAAACAGCACATGTCTCTAGAACCTCCTCCTGCGCCCAAAGTGGCTTCGTTCCCACTACAGTGGCGTTTCTGAAATAAACCCGAGTCGGCGGCATCTTTGGGGGAGTTCCCGCTCTGCTTGAGGAGGGACGCGATGATCTTGAAACGGTTGAGTTTGCTCTTCACCTGGCTGCTCTGGGGGGAGGGAGAAACCTTGAGCAAGGAGTTGGGGTCCACTGAGCTCCCGCTGGCCATCACCCCTTGCAGAGCAGGCTTCCCCGTCTTCACCAAGCCCATCACCTCATAACGAAAACTGGAGATATCCTGTTTCAGCTCCTGTGAGAGCAAAGCCAAAAGTGAGCTAACCCTCAACTCAATCGAAAAATGCTTTCTTTCATTTGACTATATAAACTCCGCATGTTGGTATTTTCAGGGAACTCCGTATAGTATTGATTGTTAGCGCATAATGGACTATTTAGCCAGCCTGCAGTTACACGGCAACTTTAAAATTAATTTGTGTTTGACTGTGTCCACCTGATGAATGTGTCCAATAGGGAAATGTGATGTTAATATATACAGAATGTAGATGCTCATTATCTGTGTGCTCACCTTGAAGTTCTCTTCAGTCAGGCCTTCCTCTGTCTTAGCATCTCTGATCATGGCGGCCACATAACGTTTCACCAAGTTCCTCAGCACCTCCTTCATCCGGGAAACAAAAAGCCAAGACAAAAACATCCTCCAATTCTGAATAAAAACGTTGTTTCGACATTGAGCTCACAGCCAGTCAGTCAGGAGAAGGATGGCAAATATATATGCATGAAAGGAAAAAAGTATTTCAAGCTGCATCTCATACAAAAATGCTTGAATAACCGCCTGCAGATAAGTGGGGAATATGAAATATTCCACCGAGTATGGTGATTAACATCCCACTGGGTGTAATCGCTAGGCCTACTGTGCGAGAAAAGCATTCTATTGAAAGATGGAAATGGAAAGTGTAGAACGGTGTCAAAGAGCAGAACCCTCTCACACACACACATGCAAAAGCACACACACAAAAGCACACACTAGCAAAGGACAGTAATCATTTTCAAGCCTGCTTTTAAAAAGACTACGTTTACCTGATACTGATGGTTCATCCTCAGGTTTTCTGCTGCACGCCTCTGCACAGAAATCCGATGCCAGACAGGTTGAAAGAAAGTGAGATCAGAGAAAGGGCATATTTATTTTTTTATCCATGGTATCACACAACGGAGTATCACATCCTGAGTGTTGCAGAATAAGAAATAACTTGTGCTATACAATTGGATTTATGGATTCTACTTTTAACTGACTTTTAACTGAAGTATTGATACACAAGCAAAAAATCTTAAATGTGTTCCAGTATTTGACACCGAACTTACTCCAAGACTCCCCAAGGTTCCAGGGCGCTTGGCTCTGGTCCTCTTGCACACTTGTCTCTTGATCCAGCAAATAAGGTACCAGAAAGACTTGGGACTGGGGATGATGTTGAACGGGGGTGGCAGAGTGGCCCCTTCTTCGAAGTAACTCATCCACAGCTTTGTCCTGGCAAACTTCCACTCGATGTCAGCATGATCCTAAAACCAAGATCAGGCCATGTGAAAAGCGCTACACGGACCTGATCTACACCACTCACTCCGCAGCGTGTTTCATCGGTTCTCACGGCAATGTGCTGGTAGGAGTTGTTCATCATGGCTATGAGCATGTTCAGGAGCACCACCAGTGAGATGATGTTGTATGTGCCGAACATGGTGGCGCCGACGAACTCAGTGAACTGATGGTCAGCGTCCACGTTGGTCACATACAGGCTGATCAGACCGAAGATTGACCAGAAGAGAGACTGCAGGGTCTCAAATAACCTGCGAGGGAAATAGGGTCATCTTTGTGTTACAGTCTGCAAAAACATCAGTTTCTCTTTTGTTTTCACTCAGTTTCACAACATAAAACATACAAAACTCGAGTTTCGCATCCAAGCAAGTTTGGGATATGTGAGCTCACGTGGAGAAAGCGTTGTTCTGCTCCACACAGCGGATGCCTTTGCATTTCCCCCTCTCATCTGAAGCTTTGGTCTCGTAGTAAAAATACAGCTGGTTCAGCCCATTGGCAAAGGCAAGTAGGACCTGGAGAAAGAGAGTGTGTGCCAAGTGACTTCAATGACCTTCTGTATGCATGCCCATATTCCTGTCTGTGCACAAACATTTGCGTGTTTACCAGACAGTAGATAAAGAGGAACTTCAGGATGTCCAGCAGCATTCTCCCCAAAGAGATCTGCAGAGGCCCCAGGTGAGAGTTGGCTGTGAACAGCGAGATGAGGCGCAGCGAACTGAAAATGTTTGCTATGGCAAACACGGCCTCAGCCACGAGTGTTGGGTGCCACATCTCCCACTGGTTCCTCGGTCTGCTACCACTGTACTGTGAGAGGAGAGTGGATGGAGACGCATGGAGTGAGAACCCAATATAGTTACACTGCACCGGTCTGCTTTACATCTATTCATAGGTAGTGGGTCACCTTCGTGTAGGCTACAATCTTTAGAGAGATGGTGGCCAGGTACAGAGAGTTCATGACAAAGTCCATCAGGTTCCACCAGTCGTGGACGTAGTCTTGGAAACCACCGTCCCACATTTGTTTGATCTCTGCCCAGATGAATCCTGGCAATGCAGAGATTGCACCTGTTCAGTAACTAACCGTCCCCTCAAAAACATGTCAAGCTCAGTAGAGGAAAATACTGTGGATCGCTACTCAATAGGATCGATGCGGCGTCACTCCTTTTACTCACCCAGCACCCAGGGCAGGATCATCCACTCCACAGTGGTGGGTGCGGGGCCCTGTCTGTCCTGCCGGTCCTGCTCCGTGGTGACAATGTGCTGGGAGGCGAGGAGCAGCAGGAACAGAAAGGTCAGGTAGGATGACGTGTGGCAGAGGAACTTGATGAAGGGCTTGCGGATGAAGAGGCCGTGGCGACTCTTCGGAGCGATGAGGTAGCAGAGGGCGAACACGGGATAGAGGAGGCCGATGAAGACACACGTGAAGAACTTCCCAGCCCAGTGGCGCCGCCTCCAGCCGGGGAACTCGTCATACCATCGGGACGCCAAAAGCTGCTGGCAGTTTGGCTGAGCTACAAACTTAAAGAGAAGGGGGGAGAGTTTCTGTTTCATCTATGGGATAAAAAACAAGCTGTCATACACTAATCTAAGGGATAATTCAGGCAGGTAGACGAGCATCCTCAGCCTGAAGCTATGAAGTGGTTTAACACAGGACATAATGCCCTGGTGACCATGTGCCAGGAATAGCAACCGCGGCAAGTTCCAGTTCAGCGCACACAAACGTAGGAGTGGGAAGTGTTGGGGGTGTAAAAATGGAAAGAGTAATCCTCGACACACATGATTTTAAAAGGAAATCTAGCAGATACTTTCTTGACAGAAGAGGAACCCAATAGAGGCTGAGAGGTTGGCAAAAAAGTTTTTTTCGAGAAACTACAGTCTTGTTTAAAGTGACTTCATTAGCGCTCTCAATGATTCTCCTGAGTTAACAACATGTTTGGAATTAAGTTACTGCTAAAATGAAAAGAATAAACAAAAAAGGTTGTCTCGGCTTTTGCCGTGTTCCTCTTGGTAACTGCGTGCAGGTTAAAAATAAAGAGTGAAGCCAAAACATCAATGCATCAAAAACTGCTCCGGTTCTGTGGGACGTATCAGCCACACTGGGGTTTTCAGCAGAATCCGGTGATAATCTACAGGTATCGATTTGGAATACATTTCTTTTCAAGAATAAAAAACAAACAAATAAACTCATAGTATTTTGCATGAATTAGTTTAACAGCATTGGCACATACAAACAAGAGTGAAATATCACATCGAGCCTTGTTACCAAAGTCAAAGTGTCGACCGGCACCGTTGGATGCCAATTTGCCAAATCTGCGGCCTTGTTACCATGGAAACCGGAGAGTTGGAGAACTGCTCATAGTTCCGTACTTCAACATCAGTGTTGCCACAAAACTTGAGAGGAGACAGAAAGAAAGGAGAGAGAGCAAGAGAGAGAGAGAGAGACAGAGAACGATGGGGAAATAGGAAAATATCTCCCCTGCTGATTTTCTCTTTTCATGTGATTCCTTTGAGCCTGAACCGTATTATGGATGAGACGGCTCGCTAAGTTGCAACTAAAGTCGAAAGCTGACCCGTAGGTGCAGGCTGAGTCTTGGAATGAAATACATTATGCCAGTAAATAATACAATAAAAAGAGCCATTTTTTTCAATTCTGCAGCCATCATAGACAGAATAGTTAACATCCAAAGATAATTTGTATATTTTTATCAAACAGGCGAGTGGCCCATTCATAAATAAAAATGTTCCTTTTCAGGTGAAATCTGTCCCTGCTTGTCAGAAAATCATTACTGATTGATAATAGTAAGTTACAGGTACTTGAGTTGCCTCATGTCCTTCCTTAATCAGCACGATAGATTAAACACTGACAGCGAGGCTAATGAGGTTAGAAATTAAGCTAATTAGGATCATAATTAGGAAATGTGTCCATGCTGTTTTAGCAAATGTATGTACGTATAATAATAACGGAATCCATATGTGGACTGTGTATGCTTTGTTTTTGTTCACAGTATTTCATTTTATAGGAAGCAAAAATTATATTTCTTACTTTTTTTACTTCTATTCAGTAAGAATAGAAATTATTTCTATTCCCCTTTCCTGGTTTAATAAGTCCAACATCCCAAACAGCACACTAATTTGACCCTTTCTTCATTTGTCAAAATCATTTCCAAAACTAATAAAGTTTCACGTCTCTCTCCTCTGTCAACTGTCAAAAAGTTCCTGGACGATGAATAAACCCATTGTGTCGTGGTGTTGGTGTGTGGAGTGGAGTTCTCCTGCAGCATTACCAACCTAAAAGTTCTGCTGAAACTCTTCTGCTTTCACAGGCACACAACGACAAGCATAAAACTGTGACATGGCTTTGATAATTGAAATACAAACGTCAAATATGCAGAGATCCTCCACACTATCTGATCATCTTCATATGCATGGTGTTATTTTATTAATACATCCATCCGTGCATTAATGTATTCCGAGTTATTTCACAATGACGGACGTGAACTTCTAGCGGCTTTTTGTCCGCTAGAAGTTCACGTCCGTCATTGTAAGTTACAATTTCTGAATCAACCCTCACACTGATGTTCACACTGTCTGTTGCCTTTGATGCAAGCTGAAGTGGTCTCAAGCTTACAAAAAACGAGGGTGTCATAGCACAAAAGCTGGTGCCTTCAAAATGTGTCCCCGAATATGCCTTCTTTTACCAGATGAGTTCTGCAGAAACAATCACCTCGTACAGCATCCTCTGAGGGAAAAATCGTGCAATAGTATGAGGGAGATTATTCTTGTTTCTTGAGTATTTTTAATAACAAAACAATCTGAAGGCTCTGAACTCAAACTCTGAACTCTGAACTCTAAATACTCAACTGGTTAGAAAGATGTTTCTGTCGCAGTGAGTAGGTGCTGAGAGTTAATGGTCCTTCACTCACAAAACACTTATTCCCCATCCTGCAATTTCATCTCCATTAGAGGCCTTAAAAACATTCAATACCATATTGCAGTTTTCACCAGGTATCACAAGGGGGCAACGTCAAACCACAGCATGAGCCTCTGTTAATCATAAACGTTAAAGTCTGCCTTTAATTGCATTGTGAATCTTAAATGTACCCACCTGCAATTTTGCAACTACATGAATTCAAATGAAAGCAATCCACTGCCGACACCCTCGGGGAGGTAGAGGGGATAATCTGCACTTCACTGTGCTACTGATCATATTTTACCTGATTAGGCCTCCAGCTGCATCAAAGCGATTTCTCTGTTTGCTGTGCTCTTTAGACCGGAGGCTTGTGGAGATTTCTCTTCAGACCGTTATGAATTGCGATTCTAAACTCAGCAGAAGCAAAACCGAAAAAAAACCCCCACAGAGATGGAAGAATAAATACTAAAAACGTAAGCGAGCGCAGCATGCACGCACGCACACGACACACATAAGAGGGTTATGAGTTTAAAAGTGCTTCAGTTTTCTTTCAGTTTGCAGCCTTAAATTTGCTCCCCGTGACTTTCTGCAACACTCATCCAACAGCCAGTACTAAAAAAAGAAAATAGAAAAAAAAGAAAAACACATTCAGGCTGAGCGTCATGAACAAATTTGAGAGCTTGAGTGTTTGTCTGGAGAATCGCTGAAAGAGATGGATTTTGAACACGCCACAGACAAAATGCCCCGAGCGAAAAGCGGAAACATCCACGTAAGCCTCGATGCCTCGCAGGGTGCGAAACCCAGTGTGGCTTAAGGATCATCTGTCACAGGCAAGAAGCAATCAATTTAAATACCTCTGTGAGTTTGTGTTTGTACATTTACTTATGTACGCTTTTTGACATGCTCAGAAGCAGCGGCAGAAAATGCAGAAGATCTCTGAATGATTTCTGTGGCAAATTCTGATTTGCGTAGCAGTTCTATGTTCAGAATCTTATAGGATATGTAATACGCGCATTTTACACACCTCGAGCCGTTCTTCTCACCGACTTAATGAGCCACTTACTGAGGAAAATACAAAAGCGTTTGCTTCAGCGCTGCCAAGACAACTGTTACTACTGTTAAGAAAATATTTGCTTGTGTGGTTGAATTCATATTAAATCCAGTTTCACACAGACTACATTACAGGATCTTCACTCCACATGCTACAAAGAAAAAAACAGTAGCTCTGTTAGTCCAAATCCATAGAAATCTGTCTAAATAAGAGCAGTCTTCAACATATTACAATGATTTATTTAGTTTAGTTTTAAAAAAAAGAAAGAATGGGTATGTTTGCTATATTAGAATGAAGGAAATGTAATTAGATTTTGGGAATACGACTAAACTAACTTGGAAACATATTGGAATATATTAAAAGGGTTTTGCTGCAATAGCTTTGGATGACTAAACAATGGAGGCAGCTGGGACATTTATCATTAAAAAGGACAGCTGGGTGGAATGTTACCCATATCATGAGACACTGTCCTCCATCAAAGTCCCGGCGCAATCGAAGGGTGTTATAGATAGACGCTGGAGAAGGGCATATTGTGATCACTTCTGAATGATTAAAGAACCCGTGTCGCGAGGGGATGCGTGGCAGCAGCAAGCAGGAGGAGATGATTGCTCACACTTTTGTGGGATGAAGGATTTACTGCCGGCAAGTGGGGGAAAGGACCGGGGACCGTCCATCATAATTTCCACCTGTTGCCCTCACTTCCAATTGTCCTTTTGAGACTGAGCATGCTCCCTCTCCAACACGTGTCTGATGCCCAACAACCGGATGGATGAGGGAGGAAAGAGACTAGTCATAAATCGGGTCTAGTCTGAGCAAAGCGATGCATGAATTATAAAACACTCTTGTGTCGGCTCCATCATCATTTTGCTTCACTTTCACATTCAGTTGAACTGTTATTTGAACCCTTTCTTGTAGCCTGAGGAAGGCATCAGCCATTCCATTACTTAGCAACACTATAACTGCGCTTCCTGCATCCTCATTGTATCTCACTGTTCCCAGAAGAACAGCTAATGCATGAGTTAAATGTTTGTTTTTTCTACATAGTCACACACAGCACTAAGCTTTTAACCGGTGCAGTAAAGTTAAATAATTGTGAAGTGATTACAGCTGTAACTAACTCATTAAGTCAGTGTGTAGATATATGATCCTGTGTTACTCATCAGTAGCAATTATCACATCTTTTGGGTGTCAACTGTTCAACCCATGAATCTGCAAAGGGAAAATTATAGCCATAGAAAATATTATAGATACAGAATGTTAATACGCATATCACATCTATCTACTTAATGAGAATGAAAAATTAATTAACTTGTTTTCTTATGCCAATTGTTCCTGGCCCTACCTGATAAACATTTATCACACCAACGATTCAGACAGCCAGCAATTAAGTCTTTAAACATAAACAGAATAGCTCGTACTGCACGTACTGTATGTATAAACAATATATTTCATGCTTACCTCTTTTTGGTAGTACTTGATAGCTAGTTTGAGTCTTGCCAGGTCATTGTGGCCCTCTTCATCCAATAGGTTTATGTCATCTCTGTAGTTGAGGATCATCTCCAGCTCTCTGGAGCTTCTTGTCTGGTCCAAGAGGTCCTTGGCAAACTGTTTGCACTGCTGGGACAGCTCCTCGTACTCTGATTTGAACTCATTCTCCACCTTAAAAAAAGCGTATCCAGATAATGAATACAGAAAGACATTTTCTAAATCAAGTCCCGAAGGGATCTAGGTGTTTTTTTTCTGTTGAGCTTTAAAAAATAATGATAATATGGATTTATATTAATTACATTGCAAAGATCATAAACTACAGGAGACGTGAATTTTCAAAGATGACCCTTTTCATTATTATTATTCCATAAGATGAGATTTAACAAGAACAATTCATATTAATGCCTAGCTAACAAATGGACCGTTGGGAGGTCACATTATGGTATCGAGTGAGGGCGCAGAGAAGTTAATTAATGCGACATAATCAGATCCCACGAAAGCTTCCTCACCTTGCTGAGCTCCTGCAGCTCCCAGCTGAGCCTGAACGCAGTGAGGAAGGGGTCCTCGCTGGAGAGCGCAATTAGCGAGGGACTCGACAGCGCTTTGTAGATATTGAGGCGGGAACGCGAGTGCCGCAGGCTGTCCACGTCTGAACTAGACACACACTCCACGCAGTTACAGCGCACCTGCAGCATCAAACAAAGCGCATTAATGAGGCCTCGCGGCATTCAGAAATAGATCAGGTCGCAGTCCTAAAAATGCATGCAGCGCTGTATCCATTATGTCAACCATGCTGGACATCAAAGGGAGGTCAATCAGAGTTCCTTATTTCATATTTATTTGCAAATGTATACATTTTATTGAGCATTTTCACTTTTGTTTCTAGTCAACTGATCATAATCTGAAAACTGAAAAGAGAATCAGAAGATATCAAAGTTGGTGTGATTGTAATACACACTTAGTGGCGTGTATACTGTAGTGTATACTATTAGTCCAAAACAAAATGATGCTGCTGAGTGGAAATCTATTTTTTTATGTGTCATCTGAATCAAATCCATCTATTGACTTGAAAACACATTAATAACCCTACTGGATTTGAAATCCTTTAGCAAACAAGACTATTGAATCTGAATCTGAATTGAATGAATATTTGTTTCACACCAATAATAAGAAACCACTAATACACTCACCTCATGAGGCTGCGGCATAGACACACCTTTCTGCACCAGCAGTTTTATAATTTCATAGTTGTTGGTGTGTGCAGCGAGAATGACAGGAGTGATGTCAGGGGTGAAGTCAGAAAACTGCTTGTCCAATAAGATAGGAGGAACCTTTCAGTGGGAGCAGAGAATAACAACTTCAACTGCACACATATCGAATAATGCTTTCCAAAGTTGCACATTTTAATTTGCCGTTATTTGATCTAATACTAATTAAAAGACCGCAGATTTTCTTTTCTCCCTCCTGTCAGGTTCAGTGGAAGTACATTCATTGGTTTGGTTTAATACAGAGGCTGAAACATCCTGTTCCCTCCCAGTGAACAGTTCAAAAGGTCTTTACACAGAAGTTAAATGGAAAAGGCAGAAAAACAACAAAAAAATGAGAGCTTTCGCAGCTCCTTCCTTGTGAACTACATATCGTCCGACAACTGCGGTGTCGGACGATATGTAATAAAAGAGCATCAGTATTTCACACATTTCACAGGGAATCATTATGCTCCGAAAGAAACTCATTCCACATATTCCTCTTATCATCCACTCCAGCTAAACCCCTTTGCCATTCCAATGTCATTCAGTGACAAAGCGCTACTGCGGGCGGAGGAGGTGTAAGCTCGACCTTTTTTCCTTCTTTTAATTGAAGAGCTATCATCTGATTCTGCAGCGAGAAAAGGGAAAAGGGGTGCAGGGGGGGGGGGGGGGGGGGTAAGTGTAGGTTATGACCTCGTCGTTCCTTGAAAAAGTTGTAATGTCTAATGTCAAAACTTTGTAGAGCTGTTTACTCATACGGCACATTAACACACATATTACATGTTTCATATTTCCTTATTAGTGCTCAGATTGACATTGATAAACTGGGCGAACTGTCAATGTGCTGATATCGGTTTCTGAGAAGTAAGCGTCACGTGACAAAATCAATGAGAGTCTTACTACAATAGCATCTACTTCATAGGTAATTTGGGTTGGATACAGTGTAATCAATTGATACATTGATTTATAAGGATATTTAATATTTACTCTTCAAATAATGGGTGGGGTGGAAGCACAGGAAGTATTTACTAATGGTAACATAAGCATGCTCACAGATACAGTACATTTAAAAACAAAAAATACAGTCAGGGCGGTTTTAGGGGGGAAATCAGAGGATGACTTGAGTCATTAACATTCATTCCCTGGACCCCATTAATATCAGTAGATTTTTTTCCCACTCCATTTGATAGACGTTAAGGAACTGCACCCAAACGTTATTTTACATGTGGAGACTAACCACTTGTGTAGTTTACTGTCGGAGTCGTCACAGTGCTGCAGACTACTACAAAGCGTGGAGCCACGTCGCTGCCGAGCTGCCGTATTCCTAATGAGATGCATTCTTTGGTCTCCGAGCGTGAGGAGGAGGGACATCAAATGATCTACATCAAGCAGCCGTGGCCGTTGCCCGAGCAAGGAGCAGGATGAATGCATGCTAGATGAGAAGTTATGATAATAAACGGAGAAAACACTTGTCCGCGTATTACACATGTGCTAATCAAATGCATTCCCAGTGTTTTTCACCTGTTGTCATCCTACAAAATCCCAAACGTTCTACACACCAAGATGGAGTAAAGTGGGACGCCGAGCAGTCCTGTTTTTGAGTGACACTGCAGAAGACTCTCTTTGTGAATTCATGTGTGAGAAGGAGAGGGATTTCCTTACGTAACCTTCTTCGACGTTCACATTTAGGTTGCAGAATAACCTAAAAAAACAAGCAAACGGTGGATGACTGAGAGGAAAAAAAAGGAAAACGACAACACAGAAGCCCCCTGAGGGCGCTTATATGATGGAGACGCACTGTTAGCTCCGCTGTTTGTGCCTCCGACTGAAGCCTCCTGAGTCTGTGCTCAGGAGATAATGCATGGAGGCCGTTTACGTCGCTGATATCCAGTGCGCGGGAAAATAAATGAGCCGCAGTACTACTGTTACTAATAATACTGAGATTACAAACGGCCAAACAGAATGACAAACATACACAATTCCAGGAAGCCACAAACTAATGTTGTTAATAATACTTTGCAGAGAAGACAACGACAACAGGTAGAATGTAATGTAATACCAGACAGCCTTTTAATATAATAAATCAGCTTCTCTGGAGGGAACTTGGTGTGACCTATTTTCACATCCTACTCGTGCAACGGGGAGAAGCACAGGCGCCTGAGCAACTGAGCACGTGGAGCAAATACATCCACACTATTCAATTAGGTGGACACAACACGTTTCATCGTAATGATTTCTGAGTCAGTGTTTGCTGACAACAAACTTTAGGCCATCGGACTCGATTCGTCTGTGGAGATAAAAGAGCCGAATCACAGAGTCTGCTCTTTTAATTGTAACGTGGCTCTTTTGCATCAGCCCCGTTGATTAACTTGTTTTGGGACCTGTGGCGTGGTGGTTAGCACTGTCGCCTCACAGCAAGAAGGCCCTGGGTTTGCGTGTCTGCGAGGGTTCCCTCCGGGTTCTCCGGCTTCCTCCCACAGTCCAAAGACATGCACTGGGGATCAGATCGATTGGTGACTCTAAATTGCCCGTAGGTGTGTGAATGTGAGTGCGAATGGTTGTTTGTCTCTGTGTAGCCCTGCGATTGGCTGGCGACCAGTCCAGGGTGAACCCTGTCTCTCGCCCGGAGGTGGCTGGGATGGACTCCAGCCCCCCCTGTGTGCAGGATAAGCAGTGTGAAGATGGATGGGATTATTTGGGATGTAGTTGGTAAACACATTCTTTTTTTAAGTGCACACCTTTCCTCAAGTTTACCATCAGTCAAAACACTTTTGTAATATTTATGAAGTTTTCTTTCCATCTATTTAGAAAAGAATTAAGGAATAAAATAAAATTCCAGTGTCAGTCTCAGTGCTGCACTGAGCCCGTCCAATCATTTGATTCGGCTGGGTTTAATCCCCCATCTTAAAGCATAACCAGTCGCTCATGAGAAGAAGCACTAACTTACAAAGACATTAAGCCAAATTTAGTGGCTGATAGACGTCACAGCTGAGGGGTTTTGGATAGATATTTTTGGCCTCTGTATCCTTCTCTCTCCATTCGTGCCGTTTCACAAAGAAGCCAGAGCTATCTCTTCTGTTCTTTTCTTCCTATTATGTGCTTACTTTTCCATTTGTTTCCCGTTTCCCCCCCCCCGCATTTCCCCCCGAACGCACGGCTTCTAACAGAAACAGCAATAACATCCCGACTTCAGTCGATCAATGAAGCCGAAAACATCTGTTCCTTTGTGGTTTATGGTGCGTTACTGCTGTGCCGCCTGTATCTGTGTGATCAAGTGTGTTCAGTATGTACACAGTGGACGTGTGAGGCAGGGACAAGAACAAGAAAATGCTTCTTCAATCGAGAGCAATCAGCGCAAAGGAGTACCAATCTGAAATGAATTGCATTGTATTTAGATTATTGTAATCAAAGCTGTCAAAGGGCACTTGTCAAAGACTAGCGGACGTTACTGAGTAACTGATTTCTAAAGCTGGTCTGAATCCTCATAAAATGAAAATATATTTTTGTCTAGTTTTAAAATTCTGCCTGGGGAACATAGTCATGACATGGCTTAAAAGTATTTCCAAAAAACAGAACAAGTCATATATATATATATATATGTATGTATGTATGTATATATATATATACGGCCTTTTAGCCTTTTAATGTTTACAACTGTATTGGTTCAATTTTTATAGACAGTTCTAAAAAAGCTCCAGGCAGCGGCATTCAGCTTGTAAGCTACACAATGAATACTATTGTTTTTACTTCACTTCATACAATTCAGTGATTTGGTATTCAGGCCCCTGTGTACTGTACCTTTATTAATCACTGTTCATACACTCTATGATTAACAGTACATGTGGTGTGAGTTGTGTGTTGTGTGCATTTATCCGGTGTCATATCCTAGTAGATAAAAGGATTAAACCAATTACACATTAAGCTGGCAGGATGTGACCAACTAAAAAAAATGGAATGCATTTCTTTGGAGAGAAAGTATACATCCACAATCCTGGTTTCTCTCCTAGTGTCCCTCGACCCTGCCTGTGCACTGACGCACTCCTTCTTCACGAATAGAGCACTCTTACTTCAAAAGTCCTTGCAGCCCGCACATCCCCCTCCTCACCTGCATGCCCCCGCTTGGCTTCTTGTGAATAAGCAGCAGCTCCACAGCTCCGACCACTTCCTTGCGGATGGCGTGCAGCAGGGCATCACCGACGTAGACGCTGAAGCTCAGCAGGAGTTCGATGATTTCCAGGTTCTCGTTCTCGATGGCAATCAGGAGCGCCGTGCGGCCGAGAGGGTCGATGCAGTTGATGTTGATCTTGAAATAGATTTCTGCCTCCTGAAGGACAAAGGTTTTTTTTTATATTTACTCTGGGACTTAAGAATATCAGTGATCAGAAGGCAGACTATACAGAGATTGTTGTGTGTTAACACCTCACGCCATTCAGATCTGACAGAGCTACTCCGTGTCTACGGAGTTCAGCTCGGAGAGAGAACGGGTACCAACAGGCACTGTGGGACGAACAAACAGCTGGTGTCAGGCCATATTCTGTGTTTCCAAAATGTCTGACACCTGCCAAGGTAAATAAATGCCCTGTGATGTTATTGGAAACGTTGGAATGGCTGCACAGATTACCCATGAATCTTCTAATATGTATTATTAAATCAATCCAATTAGATTAAGGCTTTAATTCAAAATCCATCCATAATTTGAACGGTTCAGTGGCTGTATTTATCACATCAACCATTCTGCCATGGACACACACACACACACACCTCAAGAGCCTGTTTGACACTGGCGTAGTCTCCCTTCTCCACAGCTCCAAGGTAGGCTTTCTCCAAAGGTGACAGCTCCGACTCGGCCCGCACAATCCTCAGCGGGATGCGGTCCCGGTACGAGGAGCTGTCAGTCCGTCGGTAGTACAGCTGTGACATCTCCCCCCGGGCTTCAGCTCACCCTGCAAACACTGGTCCCACCGGTGCAAAGCTGGGGGAGTTTACAGTCGAAGGGGCAGGATCAAAGGTGTTGTTAGTGTTGACTAAGACGAGGAAGGGAAGATGAGAAGAGGGCAGAAGCAGAGGGGAATGGGTTTTAGTGACAGAGAAAGATACCGGCTTGAAGATTTGCAGCTGAAATGGATATGAGTTCATGAAATTAGTAATGTTTGCTAATTGATTGGCATCCACTGACTTGGTTGTTGCCTAGTGACAGCAAAAATGTTGTTTTTAGCATTGTAGCTAGCACAGTAGATCGTAATTAAACACTGAATATGGAGGTTCACAAAGTAGCATTGTTTAACTGTTTCTGTAAAATGAAAAAGATTACCAGCAGCTCAGTTAGTTTATGAGAACAAAAACAAACCTGTCGATGCAATTCATAAAGAGGGGTAAAAGTATGTTTCTAAAACAAAACCATTTTTTTTGCTTAGCTTAACATAAAGAATGGCTAGAAAGAAAAAGGCCTCAGCCAAGCTCAGTCATAAATCGAGAAATTCTAGCAACTCACAGTAAAGTCCACTAATCAAGAGGTTTCATCTTGCATGCTTAGTCTGCACAAGAAATTAGTGGAACATTTTCAGAGGTTAATAGGTTCACTATGTCTTGGCTTGCCCTAACTTGCGGAAATCTCTGCTGGTTGCCTGGCAACCTTGCGGTGATGACAAGCCGGTTAAAGTTACTTCCAGCCGTAATGTTACGTAAAACGTAATGTTCCGTAAAGGTCAAGGTTTTGAACTAGCAACTATATTGTGGCCAAATTCTGATGTTTCTGAACGAGCAGGACTGTAAGAGGGCTCAAATGCGAGCTAATATAAAGCACCAAAGTACTGGATATTGAAGGAGCATTATGCAGTTCACTGTCAGCAAGTGTTCCTAAGCAACATCTTTTTTTTCCATTGTCCCCTGTCATCTCCTCTTAAACTCAAGGTGAACAATCATGGATATCCTAAGATGCCTCCCATTTCCCTCCTTCAAAGAAAATAACTCCATCCCGAAAAGAAAGATGTCTTAGGTGCTGGACATTTGTTTGAGATTGCTATATAGACATTTGTGAAAATGTTTCTTTTTTAATAAAAAAAAGACCCTGAACTGGCCAGGCTGGGAACTGAATATCTATGGTGAGATGGTAACGTAAAAAACATTCCTTGTGTGAAGAACAGGTACTCAGTAGATTACGAACATCTGTAGAAAGAATGTTAATCACATTAAAAGCATTAATGCAAAACCAAAAATATTTTTTCAATACATACATTCAATATTCAACTGTATACAAAACTGTACTTTTTCTCTAGTGGTAATTTCTCGATTTACTTTTCCAATAGGCAATATAAAGGATGTTTTAGTGTTTGTTTGATAAATTCTTTGAGCCTCTATCAGTTAAAGTATCACATATTTTTACTGCGCTTATAACGCTGTTGTGTTATTCTAAATCGAATCACTTGAAAACTTATTGGGACAGAAATTCAGCAGGAGGCAAGTCACTGAACAGCAGCACCAGTGGGTTTGTTGTCTGCTGCTCTTGAATGATATCATTCAAAGGGCCCTTTTTCCACTCTAGTCACACATTCCTGGAATTGCATGATTTGAAATAAGAGAATCGCACGGTGGAGCTTCCCAGCAATCCAATAACCTTATATTAACAGCAGCCTGCCCTGTGCTCACAGGAGAAGCTAAACAACTCTAAAATTGGCCAGCATTCATTCACTGACGACACCAGGTCAATTGGCAGACTGCACGAGCCACTTCCAGTGAATAGTGCAATGCTCACCCGCAGCGGTGAGATTTTAACATGCTATTTATTTATTTATTTGTGAGTGAGATAAAGCTTACAGGAAATAAAACATGAATTAAACATGGTTTCGAAAATGAGGACTCTTCTTTTTGCCTGCTGGGATCCTTGTCAGTTAAAAGGTCCTTCAGGCAACAAGTTGCATCTGATATCTTTCTAGTCTGCCCCTTCAAAAAAGCTTCATATAGACGAAACATGCGGATTTTAATTTTTTTTTGCGCAGATTTGAACCTTTGTGACGTTTTTGCATCAAACTTCGCGCAAGGAGAGCGGTCTTTCTTTTGAAAATATCCCGACACCACGCGAGGACTGAGGACTAAAACAAACATGGCTAAAGCTTTGCAGATTGGAAATCGCCTCAACTTGACAGCTTACCCCAGATGTGAAAACTGCGGCGTGGATCTGCATGAGGACCGCCGAGGTGTCAGCGCCTCGTGCCTCGTGGCGCCTTTCTGCCTGTCGCTTGGTGTCCAGTCTGCGTCCTCTCATCTCATTGTTGGAACCTTGAAAGTACCCCTATTGTCCACCCGGATTCGGTCCGTTTTCATCACGACTTCCATGCGGTCTTATGTGGAGGGAGGGGGCGGAGGAAGGGGGGCGCACTCCGCATTCAGCTCACCGCTCAAGAAATGGAACCGACACAAGTTTCCCGGGTGGATTCCACCGGCTTCAGCGACGCGTCCGGTTCCACCTCGCGCAGTATTCCAGCGGATGTTCGTTCCCGTCGACTTGTCCACCTGTTGGAAAGGACGATTGAGGGAGAAAAGCTGCGCTTCCAGGAATAAACGCTCGTGCGGAGCGCCGCTGCGGACTAGTCGTGCGCACTTGGAGACGCATTGAGCGCTGTGGCACTGCGGGGGGAAATCATCTAAACAAGCAACCCAGCCACACATTCAGCCTCTCCCGCACCACACCCAACACACCATTCCGGTTTCTCAGATTGCTGTGTCTTCTTTAAGAAATGACATCCAGAACTATTGTGATATGACTTAATCAATAAGGAATATTTACGTTTTAAACAAATATTAAAACACAGTTGTTCCCTATTGAATAATGTTATTTTGTGTTCAAACAAAGAACGGCGTAGGACAGCTAACACAGTAAAGCTAAATTTACTGATAAGCATAATGTTTTACATTACGTCATCTCATAATCTGACATTGTTGATGCTGTAAATTCTTCTTACTAGTGTATGAAGTTGCATGCTGGCATGTTTACGGAGTCTCAGGCCAGACTCATTCTTCATGTCTGTCCATGTGTGTGTGAGTTTATGTTGGGAGGACTTACAGTGGAAGATCCAGTCACAGGGAAACATCACAGGTTTCTGCAGAAGATGGAACTGGTTTTGGTAACATTTATTCAATATTGTTCTGTGTTGAGAACTTAGTGTTGCATTTGGTTAACATATTGCATGGCATTGTATACCAATTCAGTCATTTTAAGGGAAAAAAACATCTTGTTCTTTGCACTTTTGGAAAAAGAAATAAAATATAGGCCTTGGTGTCCCTGTGCGGCTTGTTTCTTTGATGCTCTCCATATGCTCATTAAATGGCCCCGGGGTAACGGGTCGGTTTGAATCTAACATGAAGAGTTCTCTTGGGTGCAGCAGCTCTCTGTGTCTTTTAGTATCTGCTTCATTTAGAATTATGATCACATGCCATTTTAACAAAGAACACCTTTGTTCGGGGGTCAAAAACGTACTTCATCTTATCGCTCCCAGACACGCAACGCAGCAATGATCATGACAGGTAGATAAGAAATTAAACGAGATCAAAATGAATGCGTAACCTTGTTGTACCATTAAAGACAGGGTAATCGATGGACAATTAAAGTACAATATCAATACCTTTCTGCTGGTTCTTTTCCTTGCGTGTGTCTACAAGCAAGTTGTCAGACGAGAAGATTTAGGAGTATGTGGAGTTCATGCAAATAATCACCCTCACACTGCAGAACATATATGCATATAATTGGTTCTAAAAACAGCCTGCAGCTATTTCTTCTCCCATACAAGGGGATTAATTTCAGCGGATTTTAAAACAACATGTGATTCGACTTTGAGAGGGAAAGAAAAACAGTAGATTCCCGTGCCTAAATTACAATAATTTATTCACGTGTCTAAAGCTGGTTTGGTACAGCACGGACCCTTATGATTAGTATTTCTTGCACTGATGTGGAACGTTTAGCAGAACATCATCTGCAGCAGGGGGATTCAGCTGCAGGAAGATGGTTAAATCAACTCATCAAACATGCAGTGCAGTTTTCACTGACGTAAAGGGGTAAAAACACACTGATATTGCTTTTTGGTTTTGACTTTAAGTCACTACCTTTTTGGCTTTTGCAGCACATTTTCTAGCTTTTGGGCTTGTTGCTTCAGTACTCTCAGTTCTGAATTGCAGGGCAGCAATTCTTTCACAACCAAAATCATTTTTTTGCAGATGCCCATTCATGAACAGCTTGCAAGCCGCCTTGTAGTTCAGAGCTGATTGAGCTTTAACAGGAGATGTTCTTATCCAAGTAAGAGGGGACCTAAGAGAAGGCACAGCAGGAAGTCCCTGCAGCTGCAAAGCACGAGGGCAACCTCTCCGTCTGTGAAATGTTCCCAGACGGCCTTTTCGATACCGACATCCAGTTGGCTACAATCTCCCTTTTCCTTCCCTCCTGTCGCTGCCACACACTCCCTCAAACGGCCGCACTGCGAATGCTCAATAACAAAGAGTTGGTCAGCTCTCTTTTACAGAGGTGTGTGAGATCCTGCATCTTCAAATCTAAACTTGTCTCCTAATCCGGAGTTTCTCCCTTATCTCCATGGAAACACAGTGCCGTCCTCATCCTGTCCTAAGCCAAATAATCGGTCACCCTTTCATGACGTTACAGCGTGCCAGGTATAGAATGTTTTTTTTTGAAAAGGCAGCACCCCAGTCAACACCACGATTATATAAGCCACAGGTTTTCGCAATCCCTCTTTTTTCTGCAAGTGCATCTGTGGGAGTTGTGCTATATTTTGTGTCTGTGGCTCTGTGGGATCCCTGAGGTAAGTGTTTCTAAATCTCCATTACTCTAATGCTCTGTGAAACGCTAGTGGTTCAAATCGGTCTGTCCTTCACGGTGACGTAAGGGGGCGATGAATGCCACCCCGCCTCCCCAAAACCCAGTTCATATTTTCAGAGAGCTAAAATGAGGCATTTGTTATCTTTTATTTGTTTTAAATAGAATTGCTACTTAATTTGTGTTATCTTTTGATAATCCATTAGGTGTCACTGACAACAAAGCATCGCCTACAAAGAATCCGACAAAATCAATGACAAGACCCGGTAGAAAAAGGGGTATTGGAAAGAGAGTGTGATGCCGCTGAGTGAGGAGGACAAGTGGTGTGGAGGAAAGGTAATCAAACACATACTAAGGCAGGACCAAAACAACAACGGCAACACTGCAATGAACTGCGTGATAGACAAAGTAGAGAACGAACACAGCTTAAAAAGGCCGGATATGCAATGAGTCTTTAGCAAACAAAGTTGTATTGAAATGTTATTGGAGAAAATTAAAAAAAAATGACACATGATATGCACTCACCTAAAGGATTATTAGGAACACAATACTAATGTGTGTTTGACCCCCTTTCACCTTCAGAACTGCCTTAATTCTACATGGCATTGATTCAACAAGGTGCTGAAAGCATTCTTTAGAGATGTTGGCCCATATTGATAGGATAGCATCTTGCAGTTTATGGAGATTTGTGGGATGCACATCCAGGGCACGAAGCTCCCGTTCCACCACATCCCAAAGATGCTCTATTGGGTTCAGATCTGGTGACGACGGGGGCCATTTTAGTACAGTGAACTCATTGTCGTGTTCAAGAAACCAATTTGAAATGATTCGAGCTTTGTGACATGGTGCATTATCCTGCAGCCATCAGAGCATGGGTACATGGTGGCCATAAAGGGATGGACATGGTCAGGTAGGCCGTGGCATTTAAACGATGCCCAATTGGCACTAAGGGGCCTAAATTGTGCCAAGAAAACCTCCCCCACACCATTACACCACCACCACACCCCTAAATGCATTGAAGCAATTGGTTGATTAGATAATTGCATTAATGAGAACTTGAACAGGTGTCCCTAATAATCCTTTAGGCGAGAGCATATCTTGGGAAAAAGGAGTTCCCAAGTATACTGATAAGATTCAGAAAACCACTTACGAAGCTACTTCAACTTCTGCGGGGATGTTTTTGGGGGTTAGGTTGAGCTTGAGGTTAGTGTGCACTTTCATGATGACTTTTTAAAACATGATGGATTGTTTTGATTGAGACTTTCTTCCTGTTAAAATGAAGATGCACTTCAGACAAGTAATATCCTGTGAGTGAGTAACAGCTTATTGTTTTATTGGACATAAATGCAGTACAGATAGTACATCATCCACTGATTCAAGCCAGCCGTTTTTCTGTGTAACACACTTTCCATTCTCCACTTGCACAGGAGATATGTGCATGATGTCAAGGACTAGTAAACAGCTCACCCTAAGAACCAGGATAGCAGATATTCCTCTCCAGAGTTTGAGTAGAGTAGACACATGTCTCCATAAGTACACCCTGAAGCCCCCGGGCTGCTGTGAAGGATGTTTACCAATGCTGATCCCGTTGAAATGAGCATCTTTCAGGTTGCTGCAGTGATTTGTAAAAGGACACCGCAGTAATCTTTGGCTTACAGAATCACAAATGCAATACGGCATTTCTGTCCCCATTCTTTCACGCAGGAGCAACACGTTTCCAACGTTTTGCGAGCACTGCGTGATGTTGTTATTGCGGTGCTTTGCGTCACTGGAGAGTTTTATGTAGGTGATTACAATAATAGACCAGAATCATTAGTGTCACCTGAAGACGTGTTTTCCGTCTGAATTATTCAAATGCAATGGCAGTTTTCTTTTCATCTCAATTGGCAGCTCTTTTGCAGTAACCATTCTTTTATCGGGAGGACTCTAAAATCTTGATATGCCCACTTTTCCCTTATCTGTCATCCTCAGCTGTACCTTCGACAGAGCGGAACGGCCTGATGAATTGAATGTCTTTTAAAGCTATTCTGCGAAAGAGAGGGGGCTGTATTTAAACATAATTCACTTAGGATTTTCAAGCGTTTCCTAGGTGACAGTAAAATCATTTAAGGATAGTGAATACTAAAAAAAAGCGTTGACTCTGCAGAAATGCTCTGGCATACCTTCACACACTGAAGTCAGAGTGAACCGGTTTACATCTTCAAGAGAGTTTAGCCAAGTCGAGACTGATCTGAATGCTTTATTGGAATTTGATGTGTTACAGTAGAGTTTCATACAATCATTCTGAAAAAAAAACAGTAATATATTTAAACTCTGTTCATACTCGAATTGACAGTTATATATTTATCACATGTTCTTCTTTTTTGCATTAATTGTTTTGAAGATGTTATGCATACATTAGGATCTACCCCTTGTCTCCTCTCATAATATACCTGTAGTCATTAAAAATGTCCTCGATAACACAGACTCCTCTAATGATGTTGTAAGAGACTGTCCTCAAAAGAAAAACAACATCAGCAATTTTTAGTGAGTGCTCTAAAATGACATACATTTCCATTAAAGTGAAAAAGCCCCCTGCGTGACTATTACCCTTCACACAGCGAGACTTCTGACAGATTTATTAAATGGTCAAAATGAACGCTGCACGAGCCGACGAATTATGGGTTCTACTGCTTAGTAGTACGTCTTATGACATATTCACTCTCCCGCTTTTAATTTCTACTTCAAAAACTGTGTCACAGCTATGTCCAGTGTCCGGTTTCTGTTTGCAAACTGTCAGCGTTTGGCTGCATGAACACTGGGGCACTGT